AAGGGTGGAGAAATATTACGCAGCCGTAGAGCTCATTAAGAGGGGAAGGACGACTGAGGATACGGATGCCGGGATGCTGGGATGCTGGGTACGGAAAAGGTTTCGTAGAAATAAATTTGCACCTTAACGCCTTTAAATGCGCAACACACCCATACAGACATACAGCGGTACACACAACACAAAACACCCACGGTGTGTGTGTGGAAACATGGTGTTGCCAATTACCCGGAAGTATGCGAAAAGCTTATGCGATAAATTCGGCAAAAGTGCCAAAAAGGTAAGCATCGTGTAGAGACTTCACGGCGAAGGGAAAGTGAACCCCGTGCGGAATATTCCCAGACGAAGGTAAAACCAAAAAATGCCCACCATTCCACCTTTCCGTCTGGTTCGGGTCTGGTTTTCTCTGGTCTGGCTAGGAGTTTGCTTTTGTGGCTTCCAAGTCGGTCGGCGTCTTTGTTGCCCGCCTCTCGACCACGTAGAGAACACCTGCGTCCAGGCCAACAGAAGCCCCATCCTCCGTGGACCACGACAAAAACTCAAGTGGGTGGCTGTGGCCGTGGCAGTGGCAGAACTTTATGTTGCGCCACCGTATTGAAGGTTAAGTCGGGGCTTTAATAAAATATCATGCGAACTTTCCCAGCTGCCCGGGGATTGGCCAAATCGCACGGCACATAAGCATACGTGCCCATATATATATCACTATAAAGTTGTATTTACGATCTGGCGGCACTGCACTTTAAACATATTTCATTAAAATGTAGGCTCAATTTTATTTATTCTTTTTTTTTTTTTGGTTGAGGGGGATGAGGTCTTTTCAGGTAATTCCCTGGGATTCGCGTTATGGTGGAGATATAAAATTTTATATGCCCGCTTTTGCCCGCTCTTGTTGTGTGTTGTCTGTTCGGATGAAGCAAAGCGTGAAATATGATTGTGCCCCACTAAAAATGTCGATTTGGGGCATGTTGATTATGTGGATAAAACAGAAAATTAAATAAAAATATTTTAGAGAAGTATCTGCAAAATTGTAAACATTTATCAATGATTTTTAAAGCTCAATAAGCAACAGAAATTGTTTAATTTATATAAAGCACATATTAAGTATTTTATTCCTAGAGTTAACTTTCTAAAATGATAGATCAATTTGATACATAACACGTTAATTTAATATTAATATTTTTTAAAATTTGTAAACTTGTGAATTTATTTTTTTGAACAGAAAGCGCATTGGGGTGCCTGCTCAGCCCAATCAAAATTGTTCGCTTTATTACCCGAACATCATTTCACGCTAACGTAAGCGCAAATTTTGTACCTAAGCCGCGGCCAGATTCTCCTCATACAACAGACAATGTGCCACTTCCCCCGGCAAAAAAGGGACTCAAGTCCCCAAGTAGGTAAACAAGTGTAGCTTCCAAAAAATGGGCAATCAACTCCAAGATGGCCCCACCTGTCTCACTCATCCCCGGAAAACTCAGTAGCATCTTCTCGTTACTTTTTAATACTTTTTATGATTATAACAATGTGTAAGTGTCTGCTTAGCGGGGCAGGTGAACAGGAAGCGTCGGTAAATACAAAATAACTTCTGTTCCGCGACGGGAGAACAACCCTCCTTAATGAAACCAACAAGCCACCCACACCCCGAAAATCTTTATCCCTTTTGCCACTTATGTTTTGCTGTTTTCTTAAGTTTACACTAAACAACCACCCAACCAAAACAGCGATGGGAAAAAGGGACACAAAGCAGCAAAAATCAACATGAAACAAATATCATAACAACCCCTCGAAAGAAGAAGAATTATTTATTTTATTAAGTATACGCAGCGTATTAACCCGACAAAGCCAGCGACTTGCTCTTTCTGATAGTCTTTTCGTGTTACTTCGTTTGTCGTTTCGCCGACTCCGTTTAATTGTTAACATTTCATTTAAGCCATGCACACACATAAAGCCCAATGGCGAGGGGCTGTTGGGTGGAAATGAACCGGAGTTGGGGAAAATTCATTTATCAAAACGCTGCCCGCATTTCCGCGATGAAACCCCTCAGGATAAACTGACTGGCGCCAGCAGGAATGGCAGGCGAGGTTGAATCCCAAATCTAAATCGTTGTATGCAGACGCACACATGCAAAGCGGGTGGTGGGGGGTGAGCGAAATTGTGGGTGGCCAAGGCAGGCCCCAAAGGCACAGTGGTGCCAAAACTAACTGACAGGGATAAAAAAAATATAGCTCTTTACAATACCATTTTTAAAAGAGTTTTTGTGAAGTCTAAAAAATTCTAAAGAAGTTAATTCTTTCAACAAAATAATTCATATACTTTAATATAATTTATGATATTTCATTAGATAAAAATCTGCTATACTTCTGCATTTTAAATTATCTTTGTTAGATATAAAATTCCACAAATAAAGTTCAATCGTAACCACCGTTTGAAGCTCTTTCCTTTCCATGACGTTTGCGTATGTCAAAGTTATCTAAATGAAAAATTGACTTTCATACAGAACATGGAGAAAGGGAGTGGAAAGGCGTAGGGAAAGGGGGTGGGGCTCTACTTGTGATGAGGGCGGGGGGAAATCATCAACGTTCGTTGGCGCATCGCTTTCAGTTGAGTTTCCGTTCTGTAGGATTTCGCATTTACGCATTTCCTATTTTAGATGATATTTCATACTTTTTTGCTGACAGCAGCAGCGACTGAGCGGGAAAGGGGGTTAGGAAAAACTGAGGGAAAAGCGGGAAAACCTCTGCCGCCGTTGATGATGATGATGTGCGTTTATTATTGTTGCTTTATGGCTTTGCATAGATAGATGTCCGTGTGTTTGCATGTGTGTGCCACTGACATATCACTGCCCCGCCCCCCGATTCCCGCCTCTATTTGAGTATTTGCCTGTGGGATTATCAACTCATTGTACCAGGGCATGCATTCATTCATGTACTTATGGAGCTTCCTCCTTTGACCCCTCCAATTCGATTCCGTTGGCCAGCTTGGCTTCTGACATTTGCCAATTTGGCAGTTTTTCGGGGTCCAAACAGAGGCCTCAAAATGATATGCCGATGCTGTAATTGCTTCGCAAGTGGGTTAATTGCAGGCAGTAAGTTAGTGGCTGGATTGGTTCTGGTTTATGGTTATCAAATACCATAGGAGGTCAAATAAACAGATATCTTTAGCTCTAGATATCGTCATTCTATTGATATTCAAACTAAAAATATATTTTATGCTTTGAAATCGTTTAAATAATATAGTACAAAATCTTCCCGCTAAACACTTTAATTTAAATACCGCTTGAAAGTAATACATCAAAATGGTAACACCCTTAAATCCTTTTTATGGCAAACGCCTCCTACCTCTTATCAATTGATTTTCCTTGGCCATTTAAACATAACGGCTCCTACGTGTCTGCTTTGTAGCCACCATTACGCCGTGGTCCGTGCATTATGTATTGGCTAGCCTAAAATTATACTGCAAAATTGTTGCAACATCAATCATACCGCTCGGTTCGCATCTGGCCATGGCCAAGACAAACACCGGGGGAAAAGGCCAAAAGCGAAGCGACCCCCTCCGCATAGAGCGTGCCAATAAATTGCGGAGGAAAAATAAAATAAATTGAAAAACACTTTGATGCCATCAATAAACGCTGACAAAGCCAATGCCAACGGAGCAGCTGAGGCCAGGAAAAGTTCACGACATTACCGTGAACTAATGTTCCTACTGGGCACGACCCGAACCAAGAGTTCTACGACATCGGAGACACAAACAACTCAAACAGACATAAAGTATAAAAATCATTTTGGCCAACTGCAGTTTCAAATCGTACACTGAATATTATAAGTTTGATTTTTATACCTACATTTAAATAAATATTAAACCTGAAGGTCAAAGTGCACGATCTTCAAATAAGGAAACTAAATTGGTATACAAATAAATAACAAATATATAAGGCACAAATTCGTCATAATATTTTTCTACTGTGAATAATTCTTCTTTGAAAAGATGAATTATTTTTGGAGCACTTCCAATTTTCTGGCAGTACAAAATAATCCCATATTCCTTGTTCTCCTCCTTTGATTTCCTTCTTTTTCTTGGCAGCTGTTCCCTTTGTCCCTTCATTCTGTTGTTTTTCCGCCACTGTTTGCTTTCCTATATATGGCTTTAAATTAGAACACATTTCTGTGATTGCTATTATGGTGGAGGGGGTCAGGAAAAAGGCAAAAGGAAAAAAGGACACTGCAGGCTCGTCATAAAGTGCGACAGGCGCCACTTTGTTCAATAGTTTTGTGCCTGTTTTTTTGCTGTCAAGTCGGCAATATGCCAAACTGAAACAGCTGCGGCATTTCGAGCCTACGAGCTGAGTTTTCTTTCGATTTTTCCGCCGGCCACGCTTCTGTTTCCCTTGTTTGTTGTTTGCTGTTGGCAAGGATATTGGGTTGAGCCCTTTTTGCTGTTTGGCCTACAATCGGGCCTCTGTCCTGGCAGCAAATGTCACTGGGATCTGTGAGTGGGTTAAGCTTGAAGCTGACTTCGCTTTTGTCTCTTTAGATTTTCGGGGATTTGGGAAAATCCTCCCCTTTCTGCCACTACTCCTTTGTTTCTATTTTCCTATTTCCTCCCCCAACAAGTGTGTTTTATGGGGGTATCCTTTTTGGCACATGACATATTTACTTTGAAAAACTTTGCCCTAGGCAGCAGGTTTTAATAGGCTAAATCGATTGCTAAAGAAAACATAATAAATCTGAAAAAGGATATTTTGAGAAAATATAACATGTTAGGGAGAAGAAAACGTGCACATATTGTTTGGAACGTTTTAAACCAATTCTTATACCAACTAAATCTTATCAACTTATTGCACTTTACTTGCCTTTAGAAACACTTAAGCTTTCACAAGCAAATTATTGAAACTAAAATGCAGTAATCCCTTTGAGCCAGCTATTTCTGTAATGCCCTTGCATCCCCATCCCAGAAAATTGATCTTGTCATAACACAGTTTCGGTTTTAGCCAAAGTGAACTTTGCACTTTTACTGGTATTAAATATTTACGACACTGCTTCGGCCACTGACAGCGAAATTTCAAGAACAAAACGAAGGAAAAGTGAAAAATGAAGTGAGCGAGGAAAAATCCAGCTTCCAGGCGGAGTGAAATCTAAGCTAAATGGAATTCACTTAGCCGTGGCAGATGATGATGATGGCTATATGGTATGGGGATGACTCCAAGTCATAGTCTGAATCTGAATCTAAGTGGCCTTGGTAGCAGCGAATGTTGCTTTAGCGATGCGAGTGCCAGGACTCTCCTTGCTTGAGTATCTCCTGCAGGCGTCGTCTTTCCTTGGCGGTAAGGACCTGCGGAAAAATACCTGTTAACTGGGCTGAATCTCAGATTTAACGCGAAAGTTTTCCTTACTCTTTCGAGGGTCTCCAGCGTGGAGTTAATTTCCCGCTTCGAGTGCAAAGGCAACCAAAGTGTGGTTATGGCAAAGGTTCTATTTCAAGAAAAGAATAAAGTTTAAAGTCTACGAATGCTAGAAATATAAAGGCAATAAATGTTTGGATACTCTTGACTATTTTTAATTTAAATGTTTAACAGTTGCTATATTATTTTTAGTATTTTTTTTGTTAAGTAGATTTTAAGAATTAAGTTTGAAAATGATTAGTTTTAGCTCCCCCCACCTGTGAACCCTCATGGCATCGATGGCGCAACGCTGCATCTCCTCGTGTTTGGCCATTTCCCGGCGGAAAACCTCGTTGTATCGCCGGAACGCGGCTGTATAACGCCTTCGACAAATGTCGGCGCTATTTCCAGGGGGCATTGGGGGAAATTGTGAAATGTATTAAATCAACAGGAAATTGCAATTTTCACACAATTTGATTTGAGCAGAGGGCTGTGGCTGTTTTTGTTGCTGTTTGCTGTGGTTGCAAACGTGGCTGTGACTTACTATGTTAGCTCCTTTTCATCGGGCGGAGGACGTTGCCCGAATCCCACTCTCCGGGCAAGGAGAACGCGGTACCACTGCTTCTGGAGGGCATTCATTGGCCGCTTGAAGGGATTCTCGCCAGCCGCATTGTTGCCCCGCAGTTTATCCATCCTAACAAGTTTTCCGTTTTATGCCGAGCACTCAGCCAGATACCAGATTTCCCTACTTGCTCGGCGTCGGCCACTTTCCGCAGAACTAAACTCGATTCGAGGGGAGAAATCGAGGAGTAGGTGCAGCTGGGACTGCGTTTGGGATTTGTTTGGCTGTTGGCAGGGAGTTTATCGAACCAACAAGCCAACAATGGCTTGAGGGATCGAATGCGAGGACGCAAAGTGGGTGGCACAGACGTTGGCAACTGTTGCACATGGGAATAGCTAACACTGCCCAAAAAAACCATACTTGCTTAAGAAAAATAACACTTAAAATAACATAAAACTCGAGTTTCACATTCTTTGATTAAACTCATTTATATCATCTAAATTTATCTTTATTTTTATTTTTAACAAAATCAAACATTTTTTCTTTGGTGTATAGCATATATCTCCTCTGCTTTAGTGATACATTTGAAATGAAGTCTTCTAGCTGTGATTTGCCATCAAGTGAACTTTGAATGTGGGTTAAGTAAGACAATAGATTGCCAGACAGTCGCATTCGATAAGTTTGTTTATACTTTCCAACTGCATATGGAAAGGGCAAACTGTGCATTTAGTTGATTAGAGTATATACACGCCTTATCCACACTGAAAAACTAGTATAACTTCTCTAATAACTCAAACTTATTATTTATAAGATGGCTTGGCCAATCTAGCTTTTAAATTTTAACAACCGTTCCCATTACCTTAAGATATCAAAACCTCGAAATAATCATATGCCAAAACCTAATGGCAGAGCCAAGACAAATGTCTCTCAAATTTAAACCCGTCTGCTGCTGTCTATGGCCTCATTATTAACCCACATTCCTGCATACACGGGTTTGCCATTCGCCATTCGCAAATGCAAAAGCCACACCCACAATTCCTGAACCCGGGCCATTTCTCATGGCAACCCAGATACGACAATGTCTATACATCATAGAACAACCCCACCGCACCCGTGAAAATCTGCACCACCCCAAAAGAGCGGAAAGGAAAAACATCTTTCCGTAATGCGCGACTCTGAGAAAGTAGTTTCCATTTCCCGGGGAAAACTCCAGGGCAATGGGAGGAAAGAGCGAAAAAAATTGGATTATATTAATTTGAATTAATAACATATTTTCCGTTACGGGCTTTCCTTTTTCCCCTGCCCTGGAATGTTGTTGCCATGATGAGTTTTTCCCCGATGAGGAAAATTCGTGGGGGCAAGGATTTTGCTTTGGGCATTTGATCTTTAATGAGCTTTTAATATGAGTTAATTTTGCAATGGAATTTTGTTTGTTTATGGCAGGGGATTGCTGGCATTTTCAATCGGAATTCGGCTTTGAAATGCCTTTGGACAATATTTAATCAAGTGTTGCCCATCGAACGGAAATTGAGTTAACTTTGGGGTGGTGGGTCAAAGTCAGGTTTTCGCTCAGAGGGTTAAAGTGCACTTGCAGTTTTCGTTAAAAGAAAAACTGCACAACATCAATTTGGTACTCGAGGGCAGCCTTACCTCCCTCTTTCTTTTTGGGGTACAATAAAGGGTATAATAATAGGAATTTAAGTGAAGTTATCAAAATTTTTATGATACATGTTCATATCCTCAGGAAAAAAATAATACTATTTTTTAAGATTTTTTAAACAGTTGAATTTACTTATTGACTTTTTAGACCTAACTCTTTCTTTACTCTTTTGCTTAATTTCTCTTTTAAATTTATACATCATTCGGGGAAGCCTTTTAGGACATTTTTTATTTATCCTGTAAATTATTTAATTAGCTAACAACCTAATACTTTGACTGTATCTGTGCTATTTTTCCCATCGCCATTGGATGCGGTCAAGTTGCCCGTTCCTAAGCAGCCAAACGCCGCCGCAATTTATCGAGTGTATTGAGTCGGTCTACGTGCTGCACATAAACCGCACTTATCTGGTTGACTGACTAACTGACTGGCTGAAGGATGTGAGCTATCCCCATCCTGGATCTGCGGAACCCGCTCCCTTTTCCCGCTTCTCCCTTGGCGTTCGCTTCCTGCCATTGAAAGGCGATATCCAAAGGAAGAGCGAGCCAAGAAAAATTGCATGCGGTTGGAGAGGCGAGCAGCAAAATTAATGTGTCTGTCCCGGCTGAAGTGGCCTCCAGCTCCATATCCTCCGGACCTTGTCCACATCCACGTCCTGCCCTCCGAGGAGGCATCCATCCCTAAGCAAATAGCCGGGCGGAACGTGTCCGGGCCATATCAAAATGATGTATGTATGTTAGATTTGTTATAAATTTTATTTGCTGTTTGCTTGATTTTCTGCCTCAGTCTATTTTATCACCCTCCCTCGGTTGATCGGAATTCAACCACAAATGCAGTCAATTATTAAACGGCTGAGTGATTGTGGCCGCAGAACGGGTAGGGTTACTCAAAAAAATTATATTTTATTTTATTGCCCAGCAAAAAATCACACCCATTCAAGCTTACATGACGTATGAGTAATATTTTATATATATTTTTTTTTTTTTTTCTTCAGTTAAAGCCTGATTAATGTTAACAAACCTCTATGACCAAATGCGTATTTCCTAATGATAAGATAAGCCTTTTCGATTGCAAAGCATTATCAGGCTTATAGACGAAAGAACTCATTGATAAGGTTTACAACAGATATTTACGTATTATTACTAATGATCTGGGGGTTTCAAATAATAACAAAACAAGTTACCAAACAAATGAAGTTTAAGGTGAATTGAATAGGAAATATAAATCAAAGTTATGTTCTGTTAAGCATACTTGACATTCCACTAATACGATAAGCTATTTTATCAATAAACGTTAAGTGATTGATTGATTGTTCTTTTCGGGAAAGGCAATTAATAAAATATATATAACAATTCAATATGTTGTAAGAGATGCAATATTTAATATAACCCAAAAATAGTTCACCTTACTTATTTATGGGGAGAGTTATTCCGGAGAAAATGACAAATTTTCTGTGTAGGGGAAGGTCTGCTATCTTTATAGCGGTCTATTGGGAATTCCGAAGTACCCATGGCTGCCCACCTTATCTGGTTATGTGTACTTGGAATATTATTTTTTTATATAAATGGTAAGCCAAAAAGCTGGTTAGTTCAGTACCCAACTGTAGTTCGTCAAACAAAGATGTCGCCACCACCACCGCACCACGATCATCACCACGGACCGCCCCACCATGGTCCACCCCACCACGGACCTCCGCACCACGGTCCACCCCACCACGGTCCCCCGCACCATGGTCCACCGCACCACGGACCTCCGCATCACGGTCCCCCGCACCATGACCACCATCACCACCCTCCCGGACCTCCGATGCATCCCCGATAAGGATTGAATTTAAATATTTATACAACTAAAAACTTACCTATAGTAAAAATGTTAAACAAAAGTGCCAAAATTAAATTGTGTGGTTCACAGTATACCACAAAATAAAAACAAAAACAAAAAATTAAAACAATTTGTGTTCTTCCCCCACAAAAAGTGTGCAATGAAATGATACTGAACAAGATTAAATTAAAGATTACTCAGAGCAAAGTTCAATAAATGCTCTCAATGCAAAAATCAACTGAAAGACATACATATATGAGTATGATGATGTGAGAAATCAAATATGTATTCATTTAGCTGGGGACTTTTTTATACGAGTCTTATCAACGGTGCTTCCCCAAGAAATGTAATTCTTACTGCAGAGATGCCTCACTTTTCTATATAATTGTAGATGTAAAGCATAAAGAATATCAGTTCTGAAGTGCAGTTCACCAAGTCAAGATGCCGCCTCCTTCCCAGCAGATGGTTCCTCAAAATCCGACCCCTCACAGACCTTCGTACGGTCCAGCTCCCCAAGGACCAGCCTACGATTTCGATGCTTTTTATGGTCCAAACAGACGCGGACCAGTTGGCGATCTGAACCCACCGGGTGCTTCTCCAGTAAAAAGTTGGGTATTTCAGAAGAAGCAATGGTGAAATAAATATGTGTCGTTGATATTTACTTTCGACGTAATTCAATAAATTCCAAGTGAAAGATAAAATGCATTTGAGTGATTTTTTAATAATATAGTCACCTGAGTTTAAGTTTAGCAATCGGTAAAAACTCCAATAAATTTATTGGTGAATGGAATGGTAGGTATAGTTCAGAATTTATAAAGAACTCCACATTTTTGTTATGTTTTTGTTCGTTTTACTTTTTATTTTCGCACTTCACATAAATTAAAAAATATTTTAGAGTTCCTAAGTTAAGTCCAGTTCATTGTTCAGTTTTTAGCGTGGGTGCATTGGAGGCCCAGGAGCCACGTATCCCTGGTCAGGTGGATATGGATACGGGCCATGAGGAGGCGGTGGGCTGAAACCGGAACCATTTCCTGGCTGGGGAGTTGGCTCGTAGTAAATCGGATGCACTGGTGTCTGGAATGGTGGGTGTGGCCCGTGGGGCGGTGGGTTGTGGTGGTGGGGCGGTGGGTTGTGGTGGTGGTGCGGAGGTGGTGGCGGCATCTTTGCTTGTTTAACTACCGTTCTGTACTAAAGTCACCCCTTCCAGGCGCACCATTTATAAATATTATATTTCGAGTACTTCAGAATCTTATCAACCGAACCGATAAGGTGGTCACTGTTAAGCTCTTAAGTATTTCGGGGTTTCCAAAAGACTTGCTGTTGTTTTTTGCCGACAATAACAAATGTTTGTTATTGAAAAGAATAATAATCAATAAACAAATAGCTCGCTTTTTCATACTTATAGATTATAGATTTATTTGATGAGTAAGTCAGCGGAGGGCATTCCATTAATCGCAATGGTTAAGTCCTCTTTATTTTTAGTATTGTGCTAATCAAAAAACAAGTTTTTGTAAATATTTCTAGCCGTTTGATTGGCTAACCTTATCTGCCGAGACGAATTTATACCCATTAATCCCCTATAACTCAAAAATCATTGTTTTGATGGTAAATTGCACTTGTTCACTAAGTTTATGTTTGATATGGTAAATATTTTGTTTTCCTTTTAAGAAAACATTACCTTGATCTGGTTTACTCTTAGTAATACAAAATCACAAAATTATTTTTTTTTTTTTTTTCTGTTTTTGTTTTATTGTATTTTAAGACCAACACCTTAATTTTAGCTCCATAAAATCATATCCCTTGCTTGTTAATTATTTCAATATATAATTTATATTCCAAGCTTAATGATGTCCATGGTGGGGCTTGTGGTCATCATGGTGAGGTGGATGCGGTCCTGGATGGTGGTCTCCTGGGTGCGCAGGTCCTTTTGGTGGATTTGGAGGATGCTGAGGTGGTGGCGGCATTTTTCCAAAAGCAAGTACAATTCAGAACTAAAGTTTCACTTTGATTTCCACCCTTTATATAGTGGAAAAAAGGTTGAGGTGTTGGTTTTCCCATAAAACGTTTATCAGCTGCGGAGCGATAAGGTCAGTTTAGTACGTGTCATTTTATATCGGATTTTCCCAATGACAAAGCTAGGTGAAAATCAAAAATCTAGCCCCCAGTGGATTGCCTATCAAAGCATTAAACATTAAATCGAACAATCTGGTTCAGTGAATGTGAGTTTTCAAATAGTTTTGAATAAAATTTTCTCGTGTAAAAATGAAGAAAAATAATATTTGGAATACGCTGCAGGAAGTTGACAAAGTCGAAGCTTCTTTTAACAAAACATTGCGAAACATCAACAATATCCAAAATCGTTACAAAGTGGTTTCTGCTTTGAACAGAAAGGCTGCCGAAAGGCAGAATTCCTATGAACAGGAGATCCAATCTGCAATTACAGAACCCAAAATCACCAAGCCGTCGAAGAAAACGAAAACCAAGAAGTATAAGGCCAAAACTCTGACCAAGAAGAAGATTCTGACCAAGAAGACCAAGAGATGTCCTCTGCCCATCCTTCAACCTCTGCCTTCACCTGAAACTCTTTCTCAAATGGGGGAACCTTTCGTATGTGTCCAGACAAATTGCGTATACGAAATTCATAAGACAACCACTCATGTGGTGGCTCGAAAACCATATCGGGGTTTCATCAAGAGGCTTTATCGAGCAGCATGGCAAAAAAATCGACAGGATCAGAATCCAGATCTGTACAAAGAGTTGGATCCGGACCGCGCCACATTTTGCTGCTCCTGCTCCTCTTGCTGTTTTGAGTACAAATAAATTTGTTGTTCTTGTTTTTACCAAGCATACCTTTAGGCTTTCCGAAAGCTTAAAGTTTGCCAGACAAAATTTTGTACGAGCACCTAAATTGTTGATAATAAATCAAAGTTGTTTGTATGCTAAAAAAGTATTCACAATTTACAAAAGAAAATTATATTTAAAGTGTTTTACTCAATTATCCCACCAATAATGCTCACTTTACACCCAAGCTTAGTTAAATTTAATCGGATTGTTTCCTTTCCCCTCGATAATTTTCAATAACTAGCCCCAGCATCGATTACCTCTGCCTTGGCGGAGAAAAACAAGAAGGAAAAGCTAAACAAAGAAACGCTTGCTTATTTACGAGTCGCATTTTGTATGGGCAACTTAAACGCTAATGGCATAAACATCCGAGACGTGAGCGAAATGTTTAAAGGCCGCTTCAAACGAGCACAGGACATCGAGGCGGAAGTCGAGGTTTAGCCTTAGCGACTGTAATGTGGCCACCGCCCAAATCAAATCTCAAATCATGCACGTTCCCTTCGGCCAGCGGGAAAATCGGGAAATGGCGGGCGAGAGGAATTGAAAAGCGCCAGGAACAGAAACTGAAACTGAAACTGGGAAAGCAGCCCGATGAAGGCAACTGCACTCTTTGCACGGGGGGAAAATTGTTTGAAAATTCAATTCACACATTTGCCAGTTGTCGATGATTTTCTGTGATTTTGACTGGGCCTCCGTCTCCTGCTCCCAAATGCTAATGCTACCACCAACTTCTTGCTGGCTCATCCGAAGCCTCAGCATCGGCCTACTACTTTGAGGTTTTCTTTGGAATTTTGGGTAGACAATACACAGAGAAAAATAAGGAATTTAAAAAGAAATTTACAAAACAGACAAACAAAGAAATATTTTAAGCAACGCAGCTTACAAAAAAAAAGTATTTTTGATAGAGGTATTGATTGTTAAACTGATACTTGTACCAATATGGTAACACTGTATTCTGCAAATTATAATTTCCAACCACTTTTTTACGAAATTTTAACAGTGTGGTGCTTATTCCTTTTTTGGTTTTCCAGCAAATAAGTGGAAAATCGCAACGAATTGTTACAGAGTCAGCGCCAGAGGTCCATGGAGTGTTCCAGGCACGTGCGGATCGAACACTCGACTCGACTTCGTCCCGTATCCATTGCACATCCCGGCTCATCCTGGTGGTCCTTTCGCTCGTCCTCCTACTCTGCTCCTCTGGTGGCATGTGTTTGAAATCTGAGCAAGCTTGGAGAATCTTTTTTCGGCCAGGCATTCCTTCTCGCTGTTTTGTATGCAAAGAGTTGTTCAAAATTTAATTTATTTACTTTGCCCTCGAGTTGTTGTGGCTCTTGTTGTTGCTCTGGTTGTTCTGGTTGTTGTTGTTGTTGTTGTTGCTACTGGCGGTACTGCCTGTTTATTGTCTGCAAATGAAATGCGTCTATGTCTATGTCCCGTCTGTCGCCGGCTTTCTTTTTAAACGAATTACCATTTGCCAGCTTTGATGTTGGTCTCGTTCTTCGCTTCTTCAACCAACTTCTGCCCATTCTTCTGCGCCATTTTCATTTTTTTCGTTCGCCTCGCTCGAATTTTCCTCCTTTTTTGGGTTAGTTCGGCTTTGACGCAAACTTTGCAGACCATAAAGTTTTGACTTCATGCAATTTTAATGACTTAACGAGCAGCATTCCATTTGACATGGGAGGGTTTTTTTTTTGGGAACTGGAAACGGCAGCTAATTAGGCAAACGCTTTGCGATTACCAAACGAAAATTTCACTTTTCCTTTTCGTGGGTTGGGAAAACTTTGCAATTGCAGAAACATGACTCGGCAGAAAATGCAGGAAGAGTCATGTTTTCCTTTTAAGATATTTTCAAAATCAAACATTTTCACATTTCGCTTGTTTTTTCTTCCACATGTATTCCGTGTGTGTAATTTTATTAAATGTAGCTTTAATTTAGACAAATAAATTAAGAATTAATGATATAATAACTATGGTCAACATATATATTATGCAAACGAGTTGGTGGCGCAGATGAGCAAAACCGATTGTTAAGAAGGAGTTTCCTGTAAGAAATGTGCAAACGCTTCACTGAACACAAAAACAAGCAAAATGGAGCAAGATCTCGATGTGGTGTTAAACAATGAGTAGGACATAGATTGAAAGATGGACTCGGTTTGGTTTTAGTGCGGTGTTGTTTGTGTAGATGACTATATCCGATCCGGGTTCGGACTGTGTGTGAATCTGAGTCTGAGTCGTCGCTCATAACATGTCCCTGAGCACTTCCTTCTGAGCGGCGGTCAGCTTCTCCGGGAACTGGATGTCGAAGGCTACCAGGAGATCGCCCTTGCGCGTCGTGTCCTTGGGAAACGGCAGTCCGTATCCCTGGATCCGCTTCACCGTGCTCGGCTTAATGATCTCCTGCATGGTGCTAATGCGCAACTTGTCGCCGGACATGGTAGGAACTTGGAAGACAACGCCGCACAGAGCCTAGAAATTATAAAGAGGATTTATTTTATTTTTATTTGATAGAATTTCAAGAGATTTTCCTGCCCAGAACTGAATGTTGTACTCCCAAACATTTTGGTAAAGATATTGATTCACATAACATACATTTTGTCGCCAATCATGTCCTGTATTTACCTCCCTTTTGTTTTATTTATATACTTTCCTGGCTTATCAATCAAATATGGTCAGCAAATACCCCGCCAAATAACTCGATTCCGCTTTCTTTTCCCCCCAAAACCCGAAATGAGCAAACACAACACATGAGTCCCACTGTCGAGTGGGATCTATCAATCTTCTCTGGGTAATCCTGTTTAGGTGCCCCGACCCACTTAGGATTTTTTGCAGCTCCTTCGAGCTTTTATTCCCCATTTTTCCGAGTTCCTTGTTTGCTTTCGTATCGAACATAACATTTGTAAATCCTTTTTTATGTTGCCTAATTCGTGTTTAAACATGTTGTTGACACACTTCCATGTCCTTTTCTGTTTGCTTTCCCTTTCTTGGCCCAGACATTTTCATTGATACTGCTTTTGGCTGTTCGCTTTGACATACGACTTGTTTAATTGGCCCACTAAAAGATGGGCATCAATCAGGTTTTGTTTTCGGTCCCAGACATTGATGTGGATTACTCAATTAATTCCTGCCGAACTTCGAGGAAACTTTTACAGATTGAATCTTTTCCCAGAAAGAAAATGTCTTAAAGATAATTTGATAAAGTTCGAAACCTATGAAGTAAAACTCTTATAACTTAATTAATTTAAAGAAGTTCAGACAGGTCTTTAAAAATCTTTAAATAAATTATTCCTCGCCCAATACAAAAATAACTTATAATTTCAACTTCTCACTTGAACATTTCCATTTCGACATGGCTTGTTAGCATATCGAAGTGCGAAATCTTTTCCAAAGAACCCGCAGAAATGACAGATTATCTTTGGTAATCCTTTTGGGGACGAATTCCGACGTTTTCAACTGGTAACGCCTTTATTTTTCAAACTTTCTGACACAGCCCATAAACAAGCAATAACTGGAATGTCAATCCCTTCCTCAACAGTGATTTATGGGTGGCAGAAATAAAAGGTTTTTGATCTAGACCCGCTGCCGAAACAATCCCTTTGATGCCCATCAACGGATGATATAATATTTTACGCCGTTCCATAACTTGTCACAAGTGATTTGTAACCAAAGAACTTGCCGGACACGTGTTAAATAGTTGTCAATGTGCTCCGGGCCTCACCCAATAAAATACAAATAAGTTATAAATACAGCAAGAAATCGCTGCAAACATAAATAAATTGCGACAAAACCAAAGTGCACACCTTATGAATATTTAAATATGTATGTGAGTACTTTTATATCGCGGATTGGGCGGGTATCGAGTATTGAGTATTTGCCGAGTGGCGAATTTAAAGCGATGACAGCATAAACTGATGACGACAGACCCAGAAAACAGCAACTACAACGATAACAACCTGTCCCCGTGATGACGACCGACCAGCATCAATATTTTTTTAATGGAAATGTTGAAAATGTTGTCGCAGCCAAAAAAAACAAGCGAAACACACACATATATATAAATCTGTAACGCTTAAATACTTTGCTACCTTTTACGGAAGCCGAAGCATAAAAAGCGAAACAGAGGGAATCAAAAATAAAGGGAATGAAAACGTGAACGGGGCATCGATAAAATTTTGCGAGCACTTCTGTATCTGGGATCAGGCACAAGGACTAAAAGGAATTTAGAAAAAAATATTGAAACCAGTTTTCAAAACTATAAACCAAACAGCAAAAAAAACTTAATCCATATGAGCTTTTCTTTATGATCAAACAAAGTTCAAATAAATATTAAGCTTTTTCAAATTTATAAATATATAAATATAGTTTTGTTTTCTGTGTATAAAAAGTCATAGAGCTATCATGGTCCAGATGATAAATCTGAATGTCAAGCCCAGCTTAACGGAAGGTTCCAGGCAGTAAACATAAATTTCCCTATATATTTCACCGCTTTATGTTGGCTTTTCCCCATTTTCCGAACTGCTCTAGACAATTACTCTCGCTGAAAGAAGTGAAGGTTTAGGTGTGAGTTTTTTTTTGGCTGAAAACAAATCAAGGGCATTCAATCGCATGTCATAAAGCATTATTCTTCTGCCTCTTTTTGTGGCCCCAACTCTTTCCCCTCTTCCCAGTTGACAACTGTCATCAAAATGCAAACGAAGTTTTCGACTACGAAATGGTTTTGTATAGAACTTCCAATTTTTTTCTAAAAAAAAAGAAAACAGACAGGACTGAATCATTTGGGCCACCAATCGAATGACAATGCTTTCGGGCAGACAACAACGTCTGGCCATCAGTTACAACCAGGGAGTCCTGGTTACACTCGTACATCCTTGAATTGTTCATCAATTTTAGTTTGCTGCATTTGCGAGAATTCTGACGCAGGCACTTGAAAACAAAACCATTGTTAAATTCGATTTCCATTTCGAAAATATGTACACCCAGACACTAAGCCAGAAAGCCAGAGGGGAAAAAGTGCGCAAAATTGAGTATAAGAATTTAAAATTCAAACTGAAACGAGCTAAGTCTATATATCATTCGCCATATGCATTAAAATAATACAAGACCAAAAACGTGAGGCAAAAAATTAATTCGAAACTCATTGACTTCAATTTTATCGTAAACGATGATGTAATTTATGAGTCGCGTTAAATTTACTGCTGCAGCGACAACAAAAGCAAAATATGACAGAAAATTGAAAACGTTGTCGGCAATTATGTGGATGAACATATATGGAGCTCCAATTGCCTTATGGCTGCTTTATTGCGAACAGAATCTTACGACCACGTGAATTAAAAAGCTAAGATTTATTGGCCTTTATTAACCAGATTGGCAAAGCTATCAAAACGAGAACTTTTTGTACCAAATATAAAATTTAATATTCCAAGCTTATAATAAAAATCACAGGAAATATTCACTTTGGTCTTGAGTAAATTCTATTTAAACCTATCATATATATGTAATCAGCACTTTAGCTGTAAATATTTCAATTAAATTCCCATTCCCAATATCAACAGAGAGCAAATAACCGTGTCAAATATTTCTATATAGAAAGAACAACATGACACTTTTAGCTCAAAAGCGAAACCAAAATGGAATTCATAAATTCAAAACAGAGCCAACGAAAATATTTGGCCAACTATGCCATAAGTGGCTGGGGACCGAGAGAGAAGCCCAAAAATATTTACTAAATTTGTCGCACTAACAAGCAATAAAATGTTAAAAATCTCCAATGGAGCCAAGTCAACAACTATTTAATCTACTTAATGCAATTAACAATTTTAACATGACTGCAAACTCAGTGGCGTGTCATTTCAGTTTGTTTTGAGTATTTCAAAATATTTGATATTTTTTCTGTTCTTTTTCGTTGTAATTTTTTGGTTTTTGGACCTGACCATATTGGAAAATGTTGTGCGAAGTTTTGCGCTTTGGCGACTGTGTAAAAATCTAACACCTCAGTGGGAGCAGATTGCTGGCCAAAAGCGAGTCTCCTCCTCTCTGAGTCCCATTCTCTGTCTCCGTTAATTGAAACTTGACCATGTTGACCAATTTGGCGGGTGCTTTGCAGCTTGGCTGCTCACCGCGTATATGGTAAATTTGCCATAAGCATTATGCCTGCCTGATTTCATTACAATTTGATTTAGGCACTGGCTGCGCCTCTAATTGGGCGCCATACTGTGAGAACCCAAACCCGCAGATCTCTCATGTGAATATCATATCTGATGGAGATCATTCTGAAGCAAGGTCTTAAGTTAGTTTTCAGGAGGTCAATTGGAAGAGATCTTAAGCGACCTAAATTTGTTGATTACAAGTTGCTGAAAATCAAAAACTATCCAGTTAAGCAGTCAAAAGTTCTAAAATTTTATATATAAATAATTCAGATAAAAAACTCTATAATTCTTTTGAAGGAAAGAAAGACTTTTCTGAAATTATATTGCAATCAATTAGCTATCAAAAAAATTATAATTCCATTTTTAAATGTATGGCTACCTATCTTGGCTACTTATTATTATTATTTTCAAATGTAAACCTCTATCCTATATTCCTAGGGAATATCCTTTATCCAGGACTCACCTGCTTGAGCGTCAGTCTCGCCGTGTAGCGAAGATCGCTGCCTTCGCGCTTGAACATGGCGTGCGGCTTGTCCCTGATGATGAACACAATGTCGGCGGGGATTTTGCCCGGCGCCTGGTCGCCCTCCTTCTGGAAGGTGACCTTGGTGCCAGACTTCCAGCCGGGCTTGATGGTGATCTGCAGGACCTTGTCCTCCTTGCGCGAACTGCCGTCCGACTGGACGACGCGTCGGGAGATTTTCATTTTCTTAACACAGCCGTGGTAGATCTCCTCCAGCGTCACATAGAGATCGTGTTCGACGGGCGGATCCTGCTTCTGCTCCTTCTTGAACGGCGTGTGCACATTGAAGGAGTGTGATCTGAAAGAGGGCCTGCGAATTATTAGCAAGAGTTTAAGGTAGACAGTTAAGCCGGATGGACCAACCTGAAGGCACTGCCCAGACCGTGCCGCGATCCAATGCCGCCGAAGGGCGATGAGAAGAAGTCGGGTTCCGTGTCCAGGTCGAAGACGTTCTTGTCGAACAGGTTGTCGCCCATGTCGAAGAACGAGGAGAACGGGTTGCTGTTGCCAAAGAACTGGGCGAAGGTCGCCCGCGGATCCCCATGGAACTGATATGTAAACGTGTTGCTCGAGGGTCCACCATTTCGTGTGCCTAAAATAAAAGAAAATAAATGTATAATAAAATAAACAAACAAAATAAGTAAGTCAATAAAGCTATTATATATTTATATTTCATTTGCCATGAAATTTGTTTAAAATGGTATCTATATTTTAATCTAAAATTTAATTTAATTTAATTTTAATAACTTCTATAACTTACCTCCACTCTTCAGACCATCCTCTCCGTATTTGTCGTAAACTTCCCGTTTGCTCTTGTCTGAAAGGACCTCGTAGGCCTCGGCGACCTCCTTGAATTTCTCCTCGGCATTGGCGGCTTTGTTTTTGTCAGGATGATAACGCAGGGCCAGTTTCCTGTAGGCCTTTTTAATCTCATCATCGGTGGCAGTTTTTGGCAGCCCTAAGGTTTTGTAGTAATCTTTACCCATTTTAGGTGCTATATGTTTGAATGAGCGGGTTCTATATATGTAGGTAAAAAGTTAACACTCAAGATCACTGTACTCTAATATCTGAAATTAAAGTTTAAAGTGTTATAAGGTTTTTAATTATTTAAAAGGATTGGGTGTACCTACAGTAATATCAGTTATCGGTTTTCCATATATAACAAGGACCTGCTTAGTTGCTATGATACTGCTCCAAAATGTTCCTTCCCTTTATCTTTATAATGGCACATGCATCTTGTCGTTCCCTCTGGTCGTTCGCTCTATTATCAGCTAAGATCTGCAAAGATCGGAAGATATGTACATATGTATTTGGCTGTGTATAGGTGGTTCCATTCCGCCTTTCTGGTTGGGATCGCAAGACGCGTCACAGACCCTGGTCATGTTCAATGCTGAACGGCCCACGCCTTTCACTAATTTTAGCCCGGCCAGCTAGAAATATTTTGCTTCTTTACGGAACATTGGAAATTTCTATGAGCACTTCTCACCCTTTCTGTCTTTCCATCGCCTGTCCATCGATTGATGGACACTTTAAAATTAAGTATTTGCCAGACTTTAGAGCACAGCAAATGCAGGTTCAATTAACGCTCTATGTATTTATCCATTTATTTGATATTCTTAAGCATTCGACAAACAAACGTCAATAAGCAAGGAAATTCTTTTAAATATTTGTTGCCCACACACGCACATCTATATTGAGTGTATATATATTCTTTTTGTGATGAATTCATAAACAAAACTTATTCCCGAGCCAATTTGCATTGACCTTAACATCTCTGAAAGATCTGAAGATCTCTGTGTCCAATTGAGTTTAACATGAGCCGTTTGAATTAGAATTGACGATGACATTTATGAATATTTCTGCGACAGGCCGAGATCACTGGGGGTTGGAATACCCCCAGAACATTAGAACTTGATTAGTTGACATGTCTATCAAGGGGCGTTGAGACATCTGTAATCTAAAACTGTTCCTGCTTCTGCGGTTTCCCCGAACAATCAATCCACAGCCGATCACCAGATCTTTCATAGTGAAAAGTTAATCAAGCTGGGGTTTCGAGGACCACAACAATCAAGCCGCTTTATTTATTCAAACTGAGGAAACACTTAGGTAATAATTTAGATAAGTGAATTTTTAAAGGGAAGGGAAATAAATTCATAGTTAAATAAATAGTTTATTACATTTCTAAACTCTTTTTAAAATCTGAAAGTTTTTTTACTGCCAAACAAAACTAACTAATCAGTAAAAAAGAACAATATTATGAAACTTATCTCTTTCGCGACATTCTGTAATCCATAATAAACACGATCATCAACGAGACTTTTAATTGCACGAAGGTCTGTCACTGCTCAAGTTCAAGATCGCATCCCAAAAAATCATTAACATTCAAGATGTCAACACTCAGACCGGCAATCCATACTCAAAACCGTTTTCAGCCTTGGGCTTAACTGATTTCATCTTGGAACATCGTTTCGTATATATAGACGGGAATATATAAAACTTGTTGCGTTGACAATTTTGAACGAGGCGAAAAAAAAAGCAATATCTGACGCCAAATTGCTGCGAAATGTCTGCCTTGAATCGCGATTCTCGGAGAGACACTATGGGGCACAAGATTTGTTGGCTATTGACAGCAGACGATTGATGCGATCAGCGCATCAGCCCATTCCAGAGATTAGTCAGCTGCAGTTTGCATATAATCGCCAGCGGATCGTGAAATCTATTCCGGATCGGTTCATCGATTTGTGTGCCAAATGTGTGCCATATTGAGCGAACCGGGGACAAGGTCGCAAACATTCAAACGATATAGATGTGCTATTTTTTCCCGAATTTTTTCCAACACATTGGCAACATTTTCTTTCATTCAAAGAAAGTTTTTCTCTCGCCTCCTCGCGCTGGCAGCGAATAAAGATAAATAAAATATGAAATATGTTACGCAAGGCGATTATGTTATGTGTTTTATATGTTTTGTACATTCCGCCGATTTAATTGAATAATTTTTTTTCGGCAGAGCTTTTCGCACGCGTTTCAATAATTCTTTTTATGGTTCTTTATTGAATTATGGGCAATGTATGCATTGTTTCGTGCAAAAATTACGGGCTTAAGGTGGAAAATAAAATCATGCTGAAATCGAAATTATGGCCGGCCATATAAAGAGGATTTTATGGCCCCGCCCAACTGACAGTTACAACATGTTTGGCCGAGTGGGTGGGTGTTTCGAGGGGCGACTTCCGCATATATTATTCACCAGACTCTGGCGGCAGCTCATTTATTGATTACAGAATAACATTTGTTTAACAATTTATTGGACACTCGCATGCTGCATTATTAGTGAATTGCTTTTTCAATGTTTTCATTGTCATTCCGCTTGCGAAATTTGCATTTGAATTTCTTTCCATTTCTGCGCAACATTATAAATTGTCGTAGGTTATGAGAGGCCAAGCGGAGGGGCAGAATGAAAATTGTTTGTGTCGTCCCCGGATTGCACTAATTGAATTGAACTTGATTTATTAATGCCTCGACTCGGCAACTTTAATTCCCCATTTTGTGTCTCGTTTTGCAACCAACTAATACTCATATTTCCCAGAGAGAGGTGGAGAAATAAAATTAAAAGAAACGAAATTAAATAATGAACGGATATCAAACTGTTGTGTGATTTATGTTTGGCTATTCAAATTTGTTATTTATTGCTTTGGAGATCAAAGTCAAATGGCCTGGGGCCTGATATGGCTGATAAAATCGGTTACTAATGCGACAGTCAACATTTTTCTCCTTGGATAAATGAACTCGATACCCAAATCAAATATTTAAACCAGAGCTAATTGGTTAGAGCGTTTGTTCGAAAGATAAATAGAAGTGTTAGAAAATAGAAAACCGATGTACAATTTATTTGACAAAAGATAACCATATGTTTAAAGTCTGAATAGTAATGTGTCATAATATTTTATTGATTTTATTCTTATGACCAGTCACCAGCCACAACTTTTTTCCAAGAGTTTAGTATTTCAAGGTTGTCAAAACTTTTTATCCCCACGACTCTCATTCAACTCCATTCACTCTCGCTCTCAAAGAAGCAAACAAAAATCATTAAATGTTGTTATTTCTCTTTTTCAAAGTCAACAGCAAAAACCCATTCATTGTCAACCCGATGGCTGTTTTTTTTTTTGCTATTCAAAATCAACCAGAAACTGATCAAGCACCATGAAGTTTATTCACCCACACTCGACAAAATACTGCCAAAAATCGGAGATTTAAAATGGAGAAAAACGAGTACGACAAGAATCGAAAAGTTTGCCATGACCGAAGGCAAATCGTTTAGGCAAATCAACATTAGATGGCCAAAAAACGGTCGATGGATTCCGGCAAATTATCAGTGCTGGGGTGGGTGTTTCTAAGCCGCAAATCTGCTGCAAAAATAGGTCCAATGACTAAGCGGGTTTACCTTTGGACGTAGAGTAAAATCTCCCACACAATCATTAGCTAAACATTTTTCGATTTTGGAGAAATTTTTTTCTGCCTTTGGACAAATGAATCAGCACTCGGCAATTTGGACAGTGATTTGCATGAGGTTGGGCAATACTTTTTTCCGGCGTGGTTTATCTCTGCAGATGAACCTCTGTTTACATAGGAATTTCGTACTAATTTGCTAAGAGCATTAATTTCTAAGGCAGAAAATATGCACGCAAATATTTCATTTCCGTTTATTTGGGTTTCATCGCAACAAAAACAAATGCAAAAGGCAAACAACGATTTGCATAGAATAACTATTAAAGCGAACATATTCTATACGAAGATTTTTGAATTTCAATTTTTGTCTCACCGAAATTTGCATGTGACTATGAAAATGAAAAACTTGTTTCAGCTGGTTCGAATAAAAGTTGTTTGTGCGGAAATTGTTGTTGATTTTCTTAGTTTATTGATTAAAATGTTGTTGCAAAGATTATTTAAGTTAACGAATAAACGCAAATGGAAAGCTTTTAATGGAATTGTTTTTAAAAGCACTTGGATTGTGGTCAAAAGAGTAAGTATTTTAGTCTTTTTATTTTCAATTTCTGTACAATAATTTAAACTGGTTTCTAAGCTGCGTTTTGATTAAGGAAATACAAAATTCTGATTGTTTAAAATTAGCATTTGGTAATGAACTCTGTTAAATACTTTTAATTGGCTGATAAGGTGTATTTTAATTTCCGCTCATATAAAAAGTATTCATTAATTTATATAATTAAGGCTGGCTTTTTTTAGCCGCACGACGGAGCAGAATGAAATTAATCAATTGCAAAAACAGAGGCGCGAAAGTGTATTTCCTTGTGTTTTCTTTTCCCCATAATTACTTTGCTTAATTGCCCGAGCTCTTCTTCATTTTTCTCTCTCACTCTCGTACTGTTGAAATGACGAATTTTGCATGTGTTTTGCGGCTCAACGACCATCAAAACAATACTGGGGCCATGCCCCCTTTGTCTGCCGCCCACCCAGCAGCTGTTCAAAGAGCACTGCCCGTGGTTACACTCCCCAAAAGACCTGAAAGCCAGAAGACCACTCTCTCGATCGCTCTTCGGCTCTCGAATGTGTCATAATTTATAAATACTAGGCAAAACCGAAGAGCAGAGAGTCCACTAACGGTACAAACTGACAATTTCTGGTGCGATTATGATTAGCAGCAGTCATCAAAATTTTCTTTTATTTTTTCACTCTTTGGTGGTAATTTGTTGCCATTTGGCTTTTCGCCTTTTTTGTGGTATTGACCATTTGGCTAAGACTTTGCTTTGGAGGCCAGCAATCAAAGCGAAAAAAATCTCTTTTTTTTTGCTATGTGCCTTCAATCATAATCGGTTGCCTTGTGTTTACTTTTTATTTATGAATTGTGGCCAACAAAATTTGAGTGTTTGAAAAATGAGGCAATAGTAGACGCCAAAAAAATGACCATAACGAGAAGACATTACCACACAAAATAAAGAGACCTTCTTTGTAGTTTATTTATGGCAATTTTGTGAAGGTCTCTTCAGCTAATCTTTACTTATAAATTCTTAGGTGAATGGATGTCAATAAATAAACAATATGTAGGTGTCAACATATACCTCTTTTAAAAAACTTTTGTTTAAGTTTGGCCCGAATTCACAGCTAGTGAAATGGTTACCTGACTTTTCCACAACTCTTCCTTTTTTTAATGGTCCACACCATGTGCACCTTTAACCCAACCGAATTTCGAACACAAATCTTTTCACACATTCTGTGTACACAGAGTAGAAAGCCCATGAATATTCCAAAGAATCGGCATGAACATTTCGAAAAATAATCAGGCGAACTGGGCAGCAGCGAAATTTGTGAGAACCGAAAAAAAAACATATACACAAAAATAACTAAAAATGCTAAAAATAAAACTTATTTAAAGAAATGAAACCATGAAAATTCAAAAACACACAGGCCAAAGCCAAAAACGATGGCAAATACAAAAATATAAATAATAAAACGAGCGGAAAAATCACTTATGGACTCTACAGATATACTTGGCGTATACTTTATGTAAGGGTTTTCGATACTCCAAACGAAATCCTGGGGATAAACAAAGGCGACAGAGTCATAAAAAGCACGATTACAAAGCACGATTGTTTAAATTGTTTTGTTATTTCGCTTTTACCACATTTGGCAAACGAGGCAAAAACACACACACAGAGTCATTCCAGCACTCACGCACACACTCACGCACTGCAAGTCCGTGATTAATTGTCATTGCAAACCAATAAATTTGGGGGACTCCTTACAATTGACGGTGGTTGGGCGTATGCTTGATATGGATTTGCGATCCTCCGATTTGGCGATTTTGAAAGTGTATTATTAGCGCGGGCTTCTCGCTGCCAATTTGCCAATTGCCGCCAGATGCGTGCAGCAATACCGTTAATAAAGTACCGACCGATCCGCGACGAAAGCGCGATATTAGTGGATGCGACAACGCTTGGGGACTCACTGAACGATCCACCACCGACTGGCGATCCACCAGCAGCACCACTCCACACCACTTGCCCCAATCTCTCGCCACCGCTCTCTCGGTGCTCGAATCTCAAGACCCCAGAGAGTCGAAAAAAATAAATAATATATCCCCCAAACAGCGGAGAGCGATCTTGCGGGAGACCCGAATCAAAAGTGAGAGGTTTCTTAGCGATCCGAATTTTGTTTTTCTTATTTACCACACATGTACGCCAAGTACAATCAAGAAAACGCCGTGGAAAAAAGCGAAAATCAAGTACAATATCAAAAACGGGCAATGAATTGGTCCGTTCCACGCGAGATCCACGATCGCCACCGATTTGCACTATGCGTCATACTGCCGAGCTTTTTCCCATAGGTAAAAACGCGAACGCTTTACGGTGAGCGGAAAAAACGTAGGCAAAGCAGAACCGAAAACCAGTATTCTTATACCCTTTGTTTGAGTATTCTCGAATACAAATGGGAAGGGACAGATGATTAAAACTTTTATAAATAATAATTTTTGTGTATAAATTTTATTATTTATGTTTAGCTTCTGCAAATTGAGGAGTACATGTTATTTGAAACAAATGTATATACTTCTACTTAAAATTAACTGTATTTTGAATTCTTCTTACTTACTATTAAGTTTTTCTTATAAGATTTATGTGCATGACATATATTATGTATATCCAATGTCTTCAAGGTATTTAAAGGTGCCAATTAAAACTCTATTCCTAAAAACAAATGCCTCTTTAAGGAAATGCCTCTTTAAGGAAGTAAAAACTTGAAAATGTACTGTTTTTAATGTTAACTTGTGGCCACCGTCTCCTTCTTCACATCCTCCGCCTCGTGTCTCTTTTCTGTCTTTGGCTTCTGGTCCTCTTCAACTTCCTTTTCCGGATCCGCGGGCAGCTGGATATTGACAGCTGCCAGAGCTTCTCGTATCCAAGCCGGAATAGGTTCGGACTTGAAGTGCCTGGCCATGAAATCTACCACAAATTGAGGGAATTCATCTCGCTGAATGGCCTCCCGCATGCCCCGCATCAATCGCAGCTGGTAGGACACATTGTGGATGCTCAGCAGGGAGCAGGAAACACTCTCGTTGGTGGCAATGTGGTGGAGATATGAGCGGGTATACCGCTTACAGGTACTGCACCCGCAAGCCTTGTCGATGGGTTCCATGTCCAGTTTGTACTTTGGTTGCTTCAGGTTTAGTTGGCCACTGTCCACCAGAGCGCAACCAAAGCGAGCTGTTCTGGTGGGAAAAACACAGTCGAACATATCGATACCCAGGGCCACACAGACCACCAGATCGGCTGCAAAGCCGACACCCATCAGGTAACGCGGCTTATCCTTAGGCAGATAGCCCGTGCACACATCCACCATCCTCCAGAAGTCGTGCTTACTCTCGCCACCGCTCAATCCGCCGACGGCAAAGCCGCGAACTTGCCGCTCCATTAGGGCGGATACGCAACGCTGCCGCAGGGGCACATCCAAACCTCCCTGGACAATGGGAAACAGCGATTGGTCATCATCACGGGCGTGGGCCTCGATGCAGCGGTCTACCCAGCGGATAGTCCTCTCCATGGCCTCCTCCACTCGCGGACCAGTTGTGGTCGTCTTGACCACATCATCCAGCTGCATCATTATATCTGCGCCGATGGCATTCTGGATTTGAATGGAGTGCTCCGGGGTCAACATGCACTGGCTATTATCGAATGGCGAGCGGAAGTTCACCCCATGCTCATCGATCTCTGCCAGCTGCAGCAGGGAGACCATCTGAAAGCCACCGGAATCAGTCAGGATGGCCCTGGGCCAACCCATGAACTTGTGGAGTCCACCTGCTTTCTTGAGGGTCTCTATACCAGGTCGCAGACCCAAATGGTAGGTATTGCCCAGCAGGATTTGGCAGTTCAGCTCGATGAGTTGGTCCGGCAGGATTCCTTTCAAGGTTCCCTGTGTGCCCACGGGCATGAAAACGGGAGTATTGACTTCACTGTGCCTGTCGAATAGTTTTCAGAAAAGATTAGTCAGACTTTTGAATGTGTTTGTTTACCTAATAAAATCTCATACCTTAAAGTCATTAATCCCGCTCTCGCCTTGGAGACGGAGCACTCCGCCACGACCTTGTAGGTGAGCGGAGGAATCTTACTAGGACTCATTAAGCTAAATACGTATGTATATCAGAGCTAATTCTTAAAATTAGTTATGTTTACGCGGTCTAAAGCCGGCTGCACGTTTTTAATCAGAATACTGTGTGACCGCTCTGGGGAAAACGATATTATACCAAAGTACGTAGTCATTATTATCGATATTACTTTTATTAGTTTTACGTTATTTTTATTGAAGTAGGGCTTACGTGGGAATTGATTAGGAGTCATATATATTACCCTGATCTTGCTTGATTACTTTTAAAACAGTAAAAATGTCAACGCAACAGCAGCAACTTGACTTCATTGAACGCCACCTGGTGTTCAAAATATTCAAGGACTTTGGTCCTCGTGCTTCGCTGGACTCGCACAAAGTGGAGTGCTCTACTGGACTGGATGGCTTCATGTCCGCTTTGTACACCCTGAAATTGGATCTGATAATTGAAGATCGCGTTAAAACCGAGGTGATTCTGATCAAGTTCATGAAGGGCACAGAGGAATTTCGGGAAAATAGCAATTCGTACATCCAGTTTGCCAATGAAATTTTCGCCTATGCTGAGATCCTTCCTGCCTATGAAAATGTCCTAAGGATAAGTCACCTGGAGGTGGATCTGGTAACAAACTGGGTGCCAAAATGTTACTTTGCCAAGTTCGGTCAGGTTGAAGGTGGGTCAGGGAAAACGTAAAATTATATCACTTCTTGACTAATCTTTAAATACTTTAGGCCTTGGCAACAGTCGCGAATCCGTACTAGCCTTAAAACACTTGAAAGGAGATGGATACCAATTGGGTCCCAGGCTCACTCTTCGCCGGGATCAGCTTGAGGCCATGGTGGGCCTGGTGGGTCCGTTCCATGCCCTTGGTTATGCCACAAAGATACTGCAGCCGCAGGTTTATAATCGCTTGCGAGCCGGCATAGTGGACATGCCCTTTGTTTCCAGTTCGGGAAAGGCCATCTTTGATGTCCTCTATCGCGTGGCCTTCGATCGATTCTACGAGTTCTACGACCGACAGAAGGAGCAGTTGCTCAAGGATTCAGATGCTGGATTTGGTGATGCCATTGAGCGACTCCGAGAGAAGTACTTTGAGAACCCAACGCAGCTCCTGGAGTGGATTCGCACCGCTTCCAGGGCTGACGATCAGCCAGATAACCACTTTGCCACATTCCTGCACGGTGATTACAACCGGAACAATGTGCTTTTCCACTATGGAGACGATGACAAGGTAGATGGCATCAAAGCAATAGATTTTCAAGAGCTGCGATTCAGTACCACGGCCATCGACCTTAGTTTCTTTATGTACATGAACACTCCATCGGAAGGAAGAGATGAGATTTATGCGGATCTCCTAAAGAAGTACCACACACATATGATTAATACGCTGGAACTGGTGCTGCGCCGCAACCCTGATGAGCTAAGCGATGATCGGGTAAATGAACTGCTGAATGAATACAGCTTTGAGCGTTTCAATGCCCATTTCAAGCGCTTCGCTTTCTACGGGGCATTGGTTTGCATGCACTTCTTGCCCTGGTTGCTGGGCAATGAAAAGGATTGCGCCAGATTGTCCCACCTCTTCGATACGGATATGCATGGTTCGGACTTCCATAAGTTGTCCATGGAAATTGCTGGCGATGAGGCGAACTTGGAGATCTTTAAGACTGTGCGTCACGCCTACGAACACGGCTACATGGACGAGATTTAGTAATATTTACAGTGCAATTATCAGTATGTTCAAAGTTCAATTCAAATATAATTTGAAACTTTAATCGTAAACTATTTACATGTTAACTTGAAAAGTTATACTAAATGAGCGCAGTAAGGTGGTGGATGTGTTTTTGAGGTAACAAATGCCTAAATGCCTCTATATTTAAGCGGAATTATATCGTAAATGTCCAAAGGGTTTCTCAGGCGTTCTCATAGCGCTGCTTCATCATCTTCTTAATGTAGGATTTGTAGTCGTTTCCAGGCTGCATGCTACCAGCCTTGTTGCCCAGTCCCACATTGTTTGTTCTCCCATCAGCCTGAGAAGCAAACATGTTTTTAAGTATTTCTTAACAGAATTTACTAAAGGGCTTTACCTCTATGATCTGGGTGCGTCCCTGGTTCTTCCTGCCCAATCCCTGACCTTCCGACCAGCCCATTTTCTGCATTAGACGACTGCCCACGTTGCTTGAACTGATTGGCATGGCTGGAGCAGACGCAGTGGAACCCTTCTGCCGTGTCTGCAAAGTCTTTATTTCTTGTTCGAAGCGCTCCCTGCTTCGATTTGGCGGAGGAGGATCACTCTCGCCGTACTTCAGTCTGCGCTCCTTGGCACGGTCACGATAACTGTGGGAGGAACATTAATTCAATAACAAATTTAAATTTTTAATAAATTATATCCACTCACGATAGTCCCTCATCAAGGGCGGCCGGTGCAGAATTTTGCTTTAGCTTGGCCAGATTCTCCTTGTGCAGATTGGACATCTTTAAGTGCTTCTGCAAGATATCCAGCGATTGGAAGGCACGCTTGCAAAGCAGACAGGTTAGCTTCTGTAGGTCCACATAGTCCGATTCATCACCACCCGATTCCACTGGTTTCTGGGATGCAGCAGCGGCAGCGTTGTCATCTTCTGAATCGGATGCTCCTCCGTAGGCATTGACGAGCTTGTTTATCACTGGTGGTCCTGCCTGTGGCACATAGTCATTGAGCTTGCCACGCTCCTTTTTCTCAAGAATGGAAAAGCCAACATCAGCATAAGCTCCTTGAGCTCCACGCGATGTGGTCGGTGCTTCATTTCCCGAAAGGATGGGCTGCGGAGTGGCCACCGCTGTGTAGTCTTTCCTCTGGTTTAAGTGTTTGGCCCACTTCTCCATGTCCTTTACAATCTTCTTGGCAACCTTGACTTTATCAGGCTTGCCAGCTTCTTCTTTTTCCTTCTCCTTTTCCTTGGCCTTTTTGGCCTCCTCCTCCTTCTTCTCGGCCTCGGCCAGTACTTCCTGCAGTGCTGCCTGAGTGGAGGCGGGTGTGGCCAGCACATAGGTGCTCCTCCGCTGATCCCAGTAGAGATATGCCCCCGTCTCGTTGTTGTAGTAGTACTGCGAGTGGGCATCGTAGTAGAGACCCGTTATATGGTCATAGTAGTACCCGGAGGTCTCATCGTACTGATACTTGGACACATCCGGAGTGGCTGCAAATAAATTTATTATTATTATTTACTAAAGGGAAACTTAAATGTGTCCGCTTACCGTATTTCTTTCCATCGTTTCCCCTCGGCGCACTGGCTCCACGAGCAAGAAAGGCAGCCTTCGCCTCCGCCACAGAGCTCACAGTCTCCATTTGACTTGTCTTCCTCTGCTTGCGCATCATGGCCGATAGGGCCACTGCTGCTCCGGAGTTTGCCTCAGTAACGGTCGGGTCCCCGCTGTTTTTGCCTATTTCAGTCGTGTAGTAATCCGTATAGTACTGGACGTAGTGGGCATGCTCCACAGGATTTGAGGCGTAAACGGAAGCACTGTACTCGGCGAGACGTGGTACATCCGCCAGGGTGTAACCGGTCACAGCGGAAGGTGGCATCGCAGCACCCTGAATACTTGCAGATCTAGATGCATTGGAATCGGCTGTAAACATTTGACGATTCTCCGAGTCGACGCAGTAGGAAATGATAACTGCAAGAAAGGGATTCTTATTAGAGTTAAATATAATAAATGGTGGTTGAAAAGGCTTTCAATTACCAGTTTTATCATCTAGAGTTAGCGGCGGATCCAGCGCCGTCAACCCGTTGTACACGTTCATCGAATCGATGAGAGTGTCGAAATTGAGGTAACAGATGCCCCTAGATGCCTGGGTGAGAGCGTCGCGGCTGATCAGCACCTTGCTAACTGTTTTGGCCAAGTCGGGCAGGTGCTGCTGGAGGGCAGTGAGCACGCCCTCCTCGTTTGTCAACGCGTCCAAGCCGCGAAGCATGATCTCTGCATTAGGAAAGCGGGTTGCGTGTGGTTAGTGGGGTATTTAGCTGATTAACTGGGTAAAACGGCATGGAAAGATATGGCTCATGGTGGGTATACTTTTTGTAAGGATGCGGCTGATCTCGTCGACGCCCTCGCCGGCTCCGGACAGAGCATTCTCGCTCTCCGCCCGCGAGGAGCTGCACACAAAGCACTGGAAACGCCTCTTAAAGTTACTGGCACCACACTGCAAAGTAAAAAAATATAATTGAATAACTTTTGATTTATTGTATTATGTATATCCTTACCTTAACACAGGTCCAATCCGAAATGCGAGTGTGGCTATACTGCATGGATGCACGATGGTCGCCCAGTTGTAGCACGCCCTTTAAGGAGAGAGGGAATAGCAGAGAAGAAAGACGAATCAGTGACTGCAATTCCTCAAAAACTAATAAAAACTTTCACAGACTACACAGTCACCAGGTTGCTTCTGTGTTTTTTTTGGGCAACGCGCAGGTATCGCAGATGCAGGCGGTTCTCCTTTGCGAGATATTCTGGCTTTGAGTTCAGTTGCCCCTGTTAGCACTGTGAAATTTAGATCAAAAGAGCAGGACAACCGATTTAGGACACTACAGATAAAGGAACTGAACTCAAGGCTGGGATTAAAGTGCAGTTGATGCCAAGTTTTCCGGTTTTGCATCCATTTCGATTTCCCTTTTGGCTGATTCAAGAATAGTCAAGTTTCTTGTTCTTTGTTGTGATACCTGTGTCAAATCCATCCAATGTCTCGCCTCCTCAACGGTTTTAAACTCGACAAATGCAAAACAGCGTGAGGCACCTAAATTTTAGATAGAAGCAGATACGAAAATGATTTTGTCAAAAAATGTTGTTGGTTGTTTTAATATCATTGTAACATTTTTGGGGATTGATTGGTTTCAGTTTGTATTTTTCTATGAATATACATATATATTTTTGTGGAATTTTGTTGCTGATGTCGTAAGCCAAGTATAACTGAATTTTTTTGTAAATCCTCTTCCGAACATTTTGCTGGGCACACAATACTCACGCTATGCTTTTTTCATTGAAAATCGAAAGTAAAACACGAAAATGTAACCCACCTGTAGGCTGTTTCCTCATCACGCGAATGGAACTGGGTTCCATGTCGACTTTTATCAGCTCGCCCATGATCTGTGAGGATTAGGGGATTATTTCTCTAATTTTGTTTTTTATATTGTTGTTAATATTACATCTGCCTCCGTGACGTGCTTCTTTAGACCAAATAGGATAATGTTGTTTAGCGGCTCCACGTTGTTGCCACTATGATAAGGGCCCTTCTGCTTAAATTCATTGACCGTGTCGCTGTCCTCATCCGAGGAATATTGCCTTTCACGCTCACGATCCCTTTCGCGATCTTTACTGTGACCATTGTTGAACTGCCGATGATCACCACTGCGGCTAAAAATCAATTGATTAGTTATTCTTAAAATACGTAATACTTTATTTAAATTGTTAAATATAATTAGCATTTTTATAAGACTTGACCGAATGGCATTAATCGTTCATTCAAACAATATTTAAATGTACTTGAATTTAGAAAAGAAGACATGAAAAATTCATTGGCAATTTGTATGCATTCATTCGAACTTTTGTGTACAATGTAGCAATATGTAAATTTGTATACGAAACGTTTGCGTGCGGAAATCAAGCATTTTTTTTAATTCATTGGAAACTCAGATTATTCTAACTAAGGTGATCTCATTGTTAGCTCAGAAGGTAAACATCTTTTGAAAAATATTAATAATATTATTATTTTAATTTCATACCTATTGCGTTCAGATCCTCTATCAAAGTCGTCGTAATTCCGATCCTTTGACTTCCGTTCATAATTCTTATAGCGATTATCACTATTATATCTATCCTGATTGCGTTTGTCATAGTTATTCTGATCACGACGGTCATGGTTATTGTAGTTATCATGCTCTCTGCGATTGTGGCTATCAGGATCTCGACGATCGTAATTGTCGTCTCCGCGATGATTGTAATGATCGGAATTTTGACGTGAGCTATAGGATCCCTGATCATCGTAGTCCTCGTTGATCAAATCTCTGTAGAGGTCGCGATCTGGACTGCGATCGTGTCTATAGTGCGAGGATCTCTCCCTACTCCGCGAACGCGAATTGCGACGTCTATAGTCGCTGCGATCCCGACTGCGGTCTCTAAAACATTAGAAAAAAAATCAATTTAAACACTGAACATATGTTAAGACGCGTTCTTCTTACCTGGATCGGGAACGGGAACGAGTATAACGTCTGTAGCCCGAATCATTCCCATTTCCGTTGCCTCCCGAGAAGCTGCGACCATATCGAGAATCCATTCTACGCGTATCTAATGCGAATCGATGGTAATTATATTCAGTCTGTTCTGTATGCGTTTTTGGCCCTTTGCCATTTAGTTGCACCGCGTTAAACTACACATCTTACTTGTTCACCGGGTTTCTAACAGGATACGAGAGCTTGTAAAACTTGTTCCTAGCTTGAAAGCCTGTCCATTAAGACAGAAACAAATAAATCTATTTGTCTGGGCACAAAAAAAGTAGAAAAACACGAACAGGAAAAATCTCGGCCTTCTTTGCGTTTACCCAAAACACCAATGTTGCCGGATGATGACAAATCCAGTTTTGTTGCTATGGCATCACCAACCGCTTCATAAAAGTTATCGGCAATCGATTATTCGCTAGCAATGCAAGGCGCCACTAGCTATTTAAACTATTCGACATTATTATAATTTATTTTTGTACATTCAAATGAGGATATGAATACGCTTAATCATAACCAAAACAATTTATTCTAAAATACCGCTATCTCATTTTTTCTGCAGGAAAAGGAGCATGTAAGGTGCAAGGCTTAGACTAGGAAAAGAAAATGCTTGAAAGAATTCGTACATCATAATGTTGTTGTAGGGGTTTTCCAAAAAAATTTTTTTGGGAAAAAAAAAAAATAAATTTTTTTTTAAAAAAAAAAAAAAAAAAAAAAAAAAAAAAAAAAAAAAAAAAAAAAAAAAAAAAAAAAAAAAAAAAAAAAAAAAAAAAAAAAAAAAAAAAAAAAGTAAGAGCTTAAGTATTAAATTGAAATGGCTCCTTTTAATTTTACAGGAAACATGTGAAAGCGGGTCTAAGAGAAACGCATATTCTCAGGCGTTCTCATAACGTTGCTTCATCATTTTCTTGATGTAGGATTTGTAATCGTTGCCTGGTATCATATGTCCCGATTTGTTGCCCAGTCCCACATTGTTGGAGCGCCCATCAGCCTGGAGAAAAAGTTATTGAAGTTAATTTTAAGCTACTTTAAAATCTCTTTTGTTTACCTCTATGATCTGGGTGCGTCCCTGGTTCTTCCTTCCCAATCCCTGACCCTCCGACCAGCCCATCTTTTGCAGGAGGCGACTGCCCACGTTGCTAGAACTTATAGGCATGGCTGGTGCGGCCGCAGATGAGTCCTTCTGTCGCGTTTGTAAAGTCTTTATTTCCTGCTCGAATCGCTCACGGCTGCGATTGGGGGGAGGAGGATCACTCTCCCCGTACTTCAGCCGGCGCTCCTTGGCACGATCACGATAACTGCGGGAACATCAAAAACTTAAATAATTATTTACTAATTTAATTATTTAATTCTACTCACGACAGTCCCTCATCAACGGCAGCTCCTCCGCCAGTACTTTGGTTCAACTTGGCAAGGTTTTCTTTGTGCAGAGTGGACATCTTCAAATGTTTCTGAAGGATATCCAGCGATTGGAAGGCACGCTTGCAGAGCAGGCAGGTCAGCTTCTGGAAGTCTACGTAGTCCGACTCATTGGCGCCTCCACCTCCAGTTGAAGCTCCCGAGTTCTGGACATTTTGAGCACTATCCTCCTCGGAGTCTGATGCTCCGCCGTACGCATTTACAAGCTTGTTTATTGGACCCGCCTGCGGCACGTAGTCGTTCAGCTTGCCGCGTTCCTTTTTTTCGAGAATCGAGAATCCCACATCGGCGTATCCTCCCTGATTGCCCCGCGATGTGCTCGGACCTTCGTTTGCCAATATCGGTTGCGGTGTGGCCACAGTAGTGTAGTCCTTTTTCTGGTTGAGCTGCTTGGCCCACTTCTCCATGTCTTTGACGATCTTCTTGGCCACCTTAACCTTGTCGTGCTTGTTACCGCCCTCTTTTTCCTTCTCCTTATCCTTGGCCTTTTTGGCATCCTCCTCCTTCTGCTCGGCCTCCGCCAGCACTTCCTGGAGGGCTGCCTGAGTGGAGGCGGGGGTGGCCAGCACGTAGGTGCTCCTCCGTTGATCCCAGTAGAGATATGCACCCGTTTCATTGTTGTAGTAATACTGTGAGTGAGCATCGTAGTAGAGTCCCGTGGTGCGATCGTAATAATAACCAGAGGTCTCATCGTACTGGTACTGGGTTACATCGGGAGTGGCTAAACGGTAATGGAGTAAATGAATGTAGTGAAATTCAGAGTCACATCTTCAGCACTTACGGTAGGTCTTTCCATCATTTCCCCTGGGCGCAGTGACTCCCTGAGCTGCCAGCGTGGCCTTTACCTCCGCCGCCGCCTGTGCAGCTGCAGTGGCCGCCGCCGTGATCGTGGTCTCGATGCTGTTCATCTTCTTCTGCTTGCGCTGGATTGCCGACAAGGCAACCGCTGCTCCAGAGTTGGCCTCCGTCAAATTGGGATCACTGTTCTTCTTGTTGATATCTGCCGTGTAGTAGTCGGTATAGTACTGGACGTAATGAGCGTGCTCCGCGGGATTCGAAGCGTACAGGGAGGCACTATATTCAGCGAGACGAGGAACATCGGCCAGCGTGTAGTTTCCGCCTAATCCCGAAGGCGGCACAGCGGAAATGTCTCCGCTTGGATTGCTCGATTCGTTGGCTTTGATTGCTGCAGCTTTCGGATCTTTGGGCGCAGCTTGGCGATCCTCCATGTCATTGCAATATGTAACGGCAACTGCATATATACCAAATTTGTTATTAATTAGGTTGGAAAACTAAAGGCGGCAATATACCAGGTCTGTCATCTAATGTAAGCGGAGGATCCAGCGCTGTCAACGCATTATGCACATTCATGGAGTCGATGAGCGTGTCGAAGTGCAGGTAGCAGATGCCTCGCGATGCCTGGGTTAAGGTGTCCCGACTGATTAGCACCTTGCTGACCGTCTTGGTCAGATCCGGAATGTGCTGCTGGAGAGCCGTGAGCACACTCTCCTCGTTTGTTAGGGCGTCCAGGTTGCGCAACATGATTTCTGCATGGAATAGGGAAGTAGTGGAAAGATCGTGGCGGTCAGTTGTCTGTGCGTTTTTAAACCGACCGAGATGGAAAGAGAGTGGTTTGTATACTTTTGGTGAGAATGCTGCTGACTTCATCCACGCCCTCACTTCCAGAGGAAAATGTGGTTTCGCTGTCTTCCCGAGATGTTTTGCACACGAAGCAGTAAAATCTAAACTTAAAGTTGCAGACTCCACACTGAAAGCAGCGTAGTTAGTTTATAATCTTTGATAATGCTGTTATTTTATATGGGCTCACCTTGTTGCAATTCCAATCTTGGATTCGCTTGTGACTATACTGCATCGACACCCGTTGGTCGTTCAGTTTGAGTACGCCCTGGAGCACCAGACATGGAAATAGGAAAAAGAAAGGTTTTAGATTAGTAATCTGCCAAAGGAATTAATTTTTTTCACACTCTACACAGTCACCGGATTGCTTCTGTGTTTCGTAACGCGAAGTTTTAGCTGCTGGCGATATCCTCGTGGCCCTTTTTTAGAAAACAACAATAAAATAATGGTTTCTCCTTTAGTTTCCATGTTTCTAGGAAATTTTTCATTTCAGATTGGGTAATAAGCAAACTTCTCGGTTGGAAAAAGGAAACCAAAGTGAAGAAGCACATAACTTTATAATTGCTAAAAGAAGAGCCTTGGCTGCTGATGTTGGAAGGTTGAAAGGGTTTCTGGTTGATTGCGCTGATACCTGTGTAATATCCATCCATTGCTTCGCCTCCTCAACGGTGTTAAACTCGACAAACGCTATACCGCGTGATGAATCTAAATTTTCGGATAGAAGCAGATACAAAATGTTTTCGTCAAAAAATGTTGAATGTTTCGATAGGTTTGTAACATTTTTGTAGGAAATTGTGTTCTTTTGCGTTTCATATGTGGCCGGTTAAATTTGATTGGTTCATTTCGTCTCCATTGGCGCATAGCCACTCGCTCTTTTTTCTTTTTTGTTTTTGAACTTACTCTGTCTACGCTGTAAGTACAAAGTTAGTGATTTCGTAACCCACCTGTTCCATGTTTCCGGATAATACGTATGCAGGCTGGCTCCATGTTCACCTTGATCAGCTCGCTCATAATCTAAACAATATAAATGCATTATTAAGATGATTTTTAAGGCTTATTGGCTTTTGGTTACATCTGCCCTAGTCATTTCCTTGGTGAGACCGAAGATAATAATTATGTTGAGGGCTTCGGTGGTGCCTCGGTACTTATTCCTCCGCATATGACCCTCATCACTGTCATAATCTGAGGAAGCCCGCCTTTCTCGGTCTCGATTGCGGTCGCGATCACGATCTTGATCCCAGTCCCGTTCACGTTCTCGATTTTGGTTTTGCATATTGTTGTTTCCGTTGTACGAACGATGATCTCGGGGGCGTCTGCGACGGATAAGTAACAAAATTTAAAAAATCAATTTATTGAATCCTGGTTTATATATTACGCATCTGCTTTCATCTACTCACGTGTTTCGCTCGTTGCTTCTGCTTCGATCATCATGACCGAAGTTCCTATTCCAGGTTCTATTTTGTTCCCTGCTGTGACCCCTTTCCTGAAACCTTTCCCTGTCCACGGAGTTTTGTTCCCTGGAATCGTGATCTCGGCAGCGCTGTTCGTACTCATAATCATTAAGCTCCCGATCACTATCACCATCTCTATCCCGATTCCGGCGATCAAAGTTATCTTCTTTTCGGAACTGACGATTATCAAAGTTGTTTCGTGAGTTATAGTTGCGCTGATCATCCCTGTAGTCTTCGTTAATTATATTATGGTACAAATCGGGGTCACCCCCACCACCGCCACCCCGACCACCACGATGATCGTGTCTAAACATGGGGGAGCGTTCCCGACTCCTCGAACGAGAATTACGATGCCTAAAGCCACCGAAACCGCGATTGCGTTCCCTGCAAATAAATGTTTTTATACAATTATAGCTTCACGTATGGGAAACTATACATACCGCGATCGCGACCGAGATCGACTATATCTAGATCCCGGCCTGGATCTGTAGTAGTTATTTCCCCGTCCCCCTTCATTTCCACTGCCACCAGAGAAACTACGCCGATTACGCGAGTCCATGGCCCACGCTGGTTGTTTTTTCCTGCCGCCGGTCAATAGATTAAAGGGAGCTCCGTTGCAAGAGCTCTCCTTTTCTAAAGCATTAACTAATTTTTCTGTTTTATCCCGGCGCTTGATTTTAGACCGTATCTTTTTTCTCAAGAACACTTTTGGCCCCTTTTTGCCATTCACCGTGAGTGTGGTATCGATAAGCTCAGTTAATCTAAAGATGGGTCGGACTGGCTAGTCAGTCCAATGCTTCTAATTATTTATTTTTCTTGCATAAAATATCATTTTTATTTTACTAACATTTAAATATTTAAAATAAAACAAATTACTGGTACGTAAAAATAATAATAACTTATTGAGTAAAAAATGTTTACGTTGTATATGTGGGTTTTGATAGTATTCCTGATCGGGCTATGCTGATATTATTTGATAAAAGTTTTATCAATTTACCTTCTTATTTTAATATTATTTTAATATTAAAACAATAAAAATAAAAAACTGGTACGTAACACACATAATCAACTTACTGAATAAACATTATTAACATTATGTTGTATTAAAAATATATAAATAGGTTTTGTTAAGTCTCCAAATCGGCCTTAGCTTTGTTTTTTTATAAAAGTTTGATCAAATGGCCTTATTATTTATATCAAACAAAATTTGTTTAAGTCGTGAGAGGCTTACATGCAGATAAAAGCTAACCATCGCACATCTCTAAAAAAAAAAGTATTTTTGAGCGCTTAAACCTTCACTTTGCAACACTGTTATCCAGCGTGTCTTGGGGGAAAACCAATTTATTTTCTTTTGGATCCATCTAATCTTAGACTTCCCCCATAAAACGGCCGCAAGCAAAGTCTCCATATCTTTTATCGATTGTGTAAACTCGAGTAGTTCATTTGAAATCAGTGACGATGAAGAAGGTGCTATTAACAAAATCGAAGCACAACCAGCCAGTCGCTGGCGGATCGGATATTCCGTTGGGCAAGCAAGCAGCATCACTTCGAGTGATTTCAATGCCCGCCCAACTGGGCACCACAACCTACATTCAGCGCAAGTCCTTCCAGCCCGTCTACGAGGACATTTTCAAATTACTAATGCGAATTCCCGACAAAGCCCTCACCCAACGGGTGATCGACGCGATTAATGGGCGTAATAACAGCGATAAGGTCGCTATCTCCCATTCAGGTAAACAGTGCTCTTGTGGGGCCCAAAAAGTGGACGCCTCCACTCAAACTGATCCGGAGCCAGAGGCAAGGAATCCGAAATCCGAGGAAAAACCTGCCATCAAGAGTGAATCATCTGCTGTTTATATCAATGGTACATCGATCAGTCCAAGTTCCACTGCCCTCGAAACACCTGAGCAACCACTGAAAGTTGTCAAAAAGCGCGGAAGAAAACGAAATACATGTGTGCCGCAGGTGGTCAAAAGATCTGCGGCTGAAATGGCACGCCAGGAGCGGGAGGAGAAGCAGCTGACACCTGTGGTCGCCAAAAAGAAAAAACATGATGTTTCGGTAAGTCACATTATAGATTAGAAAAGAAAAACATTCGTCATTTGTTAAGTGTTTGTTGTTACAAATGTTCTTTTAAGAAAATTCCATTACGTGACTAAAGTCAGCAAGTTTTGCAAGCATTATTTACTTATACATATGTTCTCTGCAGGATTCGAGAAATTCAGGGGGAAATGGTGTATCAAAAGCAACCCCTCATCGAAGAGACTCGAGTTTTTCAGACATATCCTTATATTCGGAAGAAATTAATCGGGTTGAAGACTATATAAATAATGGTACCAGTTCAGAGCGAATAATACGCATGATGGCCCAAGAATTTAGTAAGGCTCGTATCATGTCCGAGGAAGGATTGCTGTAAGTAACTGAAAATATATACATATCATGACGAATGAGATCATCAAAGAATCATTTACAAATGCCATTTTAGACCCATCCATGATGAAATCCTGCGCGGTGATGTTTACGGCGTACATCGTCAGGCTTTTGTGTGCAACCACGCCAAGGTCGACATCAATGAACTACTCACCATCGATGGCGAGGATTGCCTGCAACTAGCTCTGACCAACGACACGGATACGGAGATTGTATCGATCATTTTGAGAATGGGTTGCCACACAGACCACCTCTATGAGAACTCAAATACAGCTTTGCACCTAGCGGTGATAAATGATATAAGTATTGAGTCCATTAAGGTGCTGATGCGTCGCATCGATCTAAACCTTCTACTGCTGACTAACGACGACGGTTACACAGTTTTGCACCTGGCCGTGCGTAATAATCAGTTTTTGGTTGCGGAGGCGATATTGGATATTATAGACGAGCGGGAATTGGGTGAACCAGTGTATGGGAGAGCAACGGAGACCCCGAGTGCCGACATTAAAGATGAGAAGGCCTTTGCCAAGTACTATGATCGTGCTTGCGAAAGACTAGAAACCAACAAACACAAGTTTAAGAACCGGAGACGTAAACTGAATGTGATAAATGCCTCCGAGGCAAAGGGAGGCAATCCGCCCCTGTTTTATGCCGTCGAAGGGGAATTGGGTATGTTAATCTAATAAGTTCAATTCATTTATTTTTTGAGAAAGAAGGCTTCAACTGAATCATTATGCATGATTGTACAATTTTGTAAAAACGTTTGTCTGTTGATTTAATTCTTGTTATCTTGCCGCATTACAGAACACCTTTGCTATTTCCTGCTGGCACATCTGGCTGACCCCGACGAGGAAAACTTAAGCGGGCATTCCCCGAAATCATTTCATTACGAATACGCTCGCATGTTGCGGATAAACCTGCGAGTGGCGCGCGTCATGGAGCAAGTGGCTGGCATTTTGAATACTTGACATTGTACATTATTAATACAATATTGGCTACTATGCCCAGCTTAGCTCAAAATTGGTTTGCTTGAGCCTAGTCAAATTGATGGGTTGCAACGAAGGAGGTAATCCCGGTTGGACATGGGTTTTCCAGGGCCATTTATTTGCCTTCTTTCTCCTCCGAGACTTCTTTTTAGCAATAACTGAAAGGTTATAGAACAAAAATATAATTTGTCCTTAAAAAAGGTAAACTAATATCATACCCAATTTTTCCAGTTCTTGTAATTCCTTTGCACTATAGTGACAATATTTGCAAAACAGGTCAAATTTGCAGTATCCCCCAAAATATCGCTTACATGGCACTTTCTGGCGCTCTTCAGCCAGGATCTTTTTGGGATCTAAAGATTTCAATACTAATAAATATACCCATTTTTAACAATGAGAAGTTTTACCTTCAAATCGCCTCATGTAATTCGTTTTTGCAATTGTGTGAGATATTCCATCGTTGTGCAGTTTTCTTACATTTAAGTCGTTTTTCATAAAACAACAACAGTAGTCACAGTAGTAACTCTTTCCACCCATTATTTAAAGTCAAACGTAATCGGACAAGAGTTAACAAAATGTAAACAGCGCAAAACAAAACTTTGAGGGATAAAGGTGACAGTCCCGATCCAAATTACGTCCGATAGTAGCCTTGAATATCGGTATATTATTGTAGTTGAATGCGAATCTTCCATAGTACATATAATCTTTAACTGGCAAATGTTTTTAACAAGAAAGACCGAAAGTATGTAAATTTGGCTACCAAACTGCTTTTAATTGTTTTTAAAATATTTTAGACTAAAAACTATCGGAAGAGGTTTATTGACCTGGAATCGAATAGTGTGTGCCATCACTATCTGAGTGTGCAGATTTTTTCGCAGTGAATGGCAATTTCGGCTGTCTGACAACCGGCACAAAGCAAAAATTTGGATAACAAGGACACTAGATAACCAGTCCGCAAATGGAGCCATCTTTGGACAACTACAAGCTGAGCTGCGAGCTCCTGGGCCACAGCATGGATGTGCGGGCGGTGGCGATAGGTGGAAGTGCTCCCGAAGGTGGTCAAGTAATCCTATCCGGTTCGCGAGACAAGAGCACAAAGCTCTGGAAACCCGCGGGGTGAGCTTACCAGCCTTAGAGATCTTAACTTTATCTAAGCCCTTCTCTTTCGACCCTCCCTAGAAACGAGTACTTGGAGAGTTTGACCCTGCAGGACCACAAGAACTTCATTTCGTACATCTATTACCTGGAATCGGAGCAGTGGATCTGCACGGCCAGCAACGATGCCACCATTTGCATTTACAAGCAGGATGGTTTTGTACCACTGCTTACCCTCAAGGGTCATGGCTCCACGGTGTGTGCCGTCGCGGAAGGATTGGAGCCGCGCAGTCTTATTAGCGGCAGTTGGGACAAGACCGCCCGAGTGTGGACCATCAGTGAGACGGGTGTCGTGTCCTTCATTACCCTAGAAGGACACGAGGCTGCCGTCTGGGCAGTGGCTACCTTAAAAGAGCAGAAGAAATACGTGACTGGCGGAGCCGACAAGAACATCTATTACTGGAATGCTAAGGGCGAGAAGCTGCGCCTGCTCAAGGGACACACGGATTGTGTTCGTGGTCTTATTGGGCTGGAGGCCAACACCCTGCTTTCCTGCGGCAACGATGCCGTTCTCCGCTTCTGGAACGAGGATGGTGAGTGCGTGCGCCAGTTGAGCGGGCACACCAACTATATCTATTCGATGGACCGGAATCAGGCGCTGGGCGACCAGGTGGTGGTATCCTGCGGCGAGGACAGCACTCTGCGCATGTGGAATGTTATCACTGGCGACGAGCTGGGTGCCCCCATTACCCATCCGGCCATTTCGGTGTGGTCCGTGGCCTGCCTTAAGAACGGCGACATTGTAACCGGTTGCAGCGATGGAGTGGTGAGGGTATTCAGCCAGGATCCCGCTCGTCAGGCCAGCGCGGGAGTTCTCAAAGCCTTTGACGTGGCAGTGGCCACAAGGAAATCGCAGATGAACGAGGAGATCGGAGGGGTGAAGAAGACAGAGTACGATATTTGATTATTTTCTTTTTTAACTTTTAAAGCATCCTTGCTTGCTTCTTAGCCTTCCAGGTCCAGAGGCTCTGTTGTCCAATGGCACTCGCGAAGGGCAAACCAAAATGGTGCGTCACCCCGATGGTTCGGTAAAGTGCTACAGCTGGGAGTTGGGCAATTGGAATCTGGTTGGCGAGGTGACCGGAGCTTCCGGCGGCACGCAGGCGAGCTCTGGCAAGAAACTGCACGAGGGCAAGGAGTACGACTTCGTGTTTAATGTGGACATCTCCGACACGGAGCCGCCCATCAAGTTGCCCTACAACCGCGGCGAAGATCCCTGGCAGGCGGCACAGGCCTTCATTCATCGCCACAACCTGCCGCAAGCCTATCTTGACCAGGTGGCCAATTTTATCGTCAAGAATTCGGATAGTGCGCCCGTGGCCATGGAGCAAGCGCCCACTGGCTATCAGGATCCCTTTACGGGCGGCTCTCGTTATGTTCCTGGTTCGAGCAACACCAACGTGCGGAGCGGTGGTAATGTGGATCCCTTCACGGGCGCCTCCAGCTACTCCACCGCAAGCAGCAATGCCCAGTCGCAGGTTGATGTGAACTTTGTGCGGTCCGGTGAAAAGCACTTTCCCGTGAAGAGCTACCGCACCTTCGACACATGCGATGCGAAGAAAGTGCTGGAGAAAATGAAGTAGCTACCAGTATAATTGTTCCTTTCGAATCCCACTAATCCTTTCTCTTTCCAGGGAGTTTAATAGCAAGATTACGACTGCCGATGGCAAAGTTGGGGACGAAGTCCTATTGGCTGTTATCAAGCTGACTGAGCAAACTCCAGAGCTGGACCTCACCTCCCTCGAAGCTCTTATCATCCTGCTAAAGTGGCCTGCGGCCATGCTCTTTCCAGTGTTAGACATTCTCCGCCTGGCCGTGAGGAACGAGGCAATCTTCAGTGTCCTGAACAACAGCCACAATTTCCTGGGGATCGTGATCCCCCAGCTGAGTGGATCGGCGGCCAACCAGCTGATGGTGGTGCGATGCCTGGCCAATAGTTTGAGCCACAAAACCGGACGGCAGCAGGTTGAATCGCATCTGCCGCAGATCATCGACATGGTCGGAGGCATCAAGGCGGGCAGTGCCAACCTGCAGATCGCCGTGGCCACCTTCTACTTGAACCTTACAATCGCTCAAACGCAGAGCGTAGCCAAATCCGAGGTCTGCCACGTGGTCACCTCCGGTGTGGTAGAGCTGCTCAAGTGGGCCAACGACCTGGAGGCCTGTTACCGTTCCATGCAGGCCATCGGTAACCTGACCACCACTCCTTGCGGCCAGGAGACCGTCGCCCAAGTGGTCTCCGTAGACTATGTGATGGACAAGCTGAGGGAGCTGACCAACACCCCGCAAAGCGAGAACTTCAGCAAGGTAAACTCGGCGGGCCAGGCATTGTTGGCCGCCTTCTAGGATCTCCGCCTTCCTCGTCATTTATGAATCATTCTAAATTATATATATATTGGAGAACGTTTTTCTAAATACACAATTATACGCGCTAATCTTTTTTAGACTTGGAATGCTGGGGGTTCTCCGAGGACGAGGAAGAAGATTCTGGTGGATGGTGTCGGTTGTTTATTCGGTCTAGGAGCTCATGCTTCCATCGCTCTTCGGGCACTCCTTTCGCCCAATCCGGCACCTGGATATTGGGCAAAGTGATGGTGGACATGGCCTTGAGGATCTGGAACCCAAGATATATAAATTTTAATTGTTTGGTCTGTATTAAAAGATAAGATAGGTATTTGATAAGCTTTTACCTGATCTGTCCGCGTTCTATCGAGATCCATCTCCAATTCCCTTGGTCTTGGTTCACTCCAAACCTGACGCTCGATCTCGACATCCGCTGGCTCAATATCCGGCATATTGGGATCGCCGTGAGTAACTGGCGCTGTCATCAAATCAACATCATCGTCGTTATCTTGAGTAGGTGTCTCCGGCTCCATGGGAATCTCCTCGGGAGCTGCTCCGTCAATATCTTCATCCAGGGCGAGTGGTTGGTAGCCATCGTAGGCATCTGAATCATCGTCGTCCTCGCTCTCCACACCATTACGGGGATGGTCAACCGCCGGGGTTGGAAACATATCCTGGCCAGGATCTGAAGGTAACTCCGGACTTCCCATTGTTTTTAGTTTTGTTTTAATCAAAACAAATAAGTTCTTTCTTCGATAACGATAGGCAAGTTGTTAAGTGCTGCAAAACTCAAAAATATGCGGCTCTACGATTTCAGTTATATCTTAAATTGAGAATTAAATAAAATTCAAGTTTCTGACTCCAATGGCATACCTATTTAAAAAATAAAACTTTATTTTATTATTGTTCAGCTTCTGATTCGAAATAGAAACAAATTTTTGTTTACATAAAGACACAAAATTTATTTTAATACAGATATGCAGGGGCAGGAGCCGTGGCAGCTGTGCTACCAGCATCGGAAGCTCCCACTTTCTGCAGCGGAATAATCGTGGACTTAATATCTCTGTTCGAGGTCTTGCGCAATTCCGTTGCCGCATGCTGCAACTGCAGGGTGCACTCGCTGCTGGCTCCATTGAGGCTGAGATGTGCGCATTCCTTTTCTAGCAACATTGCCAATGCCTCCAGCAACTCTACGAACCCCAGGGCCAAAGCAGCTCTCCGAATCCGATTTAGCTCCTTGTAGAAATGCTGCGTCTTGTCGGGCATCTTCTTGGCATGCCGCAATACCTTCTGTACGTCTGACTGAAGGCTGGCCTGTCGAATCCACACAACACTGCTCTGGGAGTAGGATCTCCGATCGGCACGGACCGGAAAACTCGCCGTCTCTCCTGGCGCCAAGTCCTCGGGGAAACCCAGCAACTCCAGATCTCCCACCCAGGGTATAACATTTGTGCCAGGCGGAAGTATGTTCAACATTAGGTTTGATTTCTTTTTGCCATCTGTGAATGCATATATGAATCCGTACCACTTCTCGCCTACTTTTACCAAAGCTGCCATGTTCTCCATTTTGAGGGCACTGTGAAGGAGCACACAAAGGTTTTCCTTTTGCTGCTCCGTCTGGGGACCGGGTTTTAGAACAATGGTAACATCATCATCACCACTCTCTTCAGTGTCCTTTGGATCCTTGGCGTAAAAGTCTTTTATGTCGGATTCCAATTTCTCCAGCTCATAGTTAGGATTGCTGGCGTCCAGATTGAGTTTTGGTGGCTTGGCCGCTGCCGGTAAACTTCCGGATCTCCGGCTTCCTCCACTCTTTTCCCGCTCCACTTTTGGCAGCACCCAGTGACGACTTAGAGTGGCCGGCGAACCGATGTCGGATAGGGCAAGAAAGCCACACACCTCAATTTTCTGGTCCAAATGTCGGACGGTGGGTTCCCTGCCGAAAACCAGTGATTTTTGCTCATACGGTGACGTGGGTGGCCAAAGTAAAACGGGCGCCTCCATGCGGAAGTAGCTGCCACATTTTAGGATCACCTCCGAGGATTTGTAGCTGGTCTCACACAACCGCTCGATTAGCTCGAAAACCGTAGTGCGTCCCAACTCGCTTTTGTGGCTGGGATTAGGGTTGGGATTGGGATTTCCTTCGACTGTTTCGGCAGTCTTAGCCGGTTTGGTCATGAAGAGTTGGCCTAAAAGGGAGATTATACTTTTAGTATACTTGGTATTCTGCACGTTTAAAACCTTACCCTTTAGGGAGACCTTGTCTAGTAGCTGCTGGTAAACCGTCAATCCCCTGGTGAAGTAGTGATCTCCATGCAGTCCCAAACAAATAAAGTTTAGGTTGATGTTGGCAAGGGTTTTCAGAAAACTAAACTCCGGTTCTGATTCCTTGCCGGTATAGGCCTCCAGGAAACCCGTGATTGAAGTGTTCCCAAAACCGAGGCCACAATCTGTAAAGACTACCACCTGCAGTATATTTTGGTTGCCCCACGGCGACATTATGGACACCACCGCTTTCAACATGCTCATTAGACAAGCCTTGTCCATCGGCTCTACTTTCTTGACAGCCTGCCGGATTTGGTCGTAGTCCCGGGTGAAGTCCACCTTCAGTTCCGCCGTAGTTGTGTACGCAAGCAGACCAAGGTGCTCCAGTTTTCCGGCAGCTGTGAGGTTGTCCAGCAGGTGCTGAATGCCTTTAATGGCCAGCGATTGGTAGGTGTGCTCGTTTCGTCCTGGAACAGGACGAAGCATTGATAGCGATGCATCCAAAGCTATTAAGGTTGGCATCTTGCTCAAAAAATCGGATTAATTTATTTTTTCTTTCCGGCAAGTTTTGTTGTTTACGCATCTTCTTCTTCGGCTCCAGCTGAAATGCTATTCACAACGAAATCTGAATATTATTCCAAGTGAATGTTTGTTGTCCATGAATTGCCGCCAAACAAGAAATTCAAATTGGGATATTTAATTCAAAAAAATTTACGAACTCTAAAATCATGCAACGTTAACTTTTTTTCTTCAGTATTCTTAATAACATGCATTATTTTATGTTTTGGTTATGAAGAAAGTTACATAATTGTTCTGGATATTTAAAAATAAAGTGTAATTAATTGATCAGTAGTTGAATGGATGCTCTTTAAGATTTTATGCCAGCATAAATGAAATTATTTTGGAAGTGTGAAGCATCTCAATCAATCGATATGGTACGCTTGCTTTTTAATTGTCTTGATTTTGCCGCAAAAGGAACTGAAGATCGTCACCCCTATCATTTGTTTGCATTTCACTTAATGCTTTTGTATTAGAATAAATTGAATTTTAATTTGTTGCCACCCCGATGCGGGGAGCTTACCATCTCGCGATTTTAATGACATTTATTAAAAACATATGCAATGCGTCGATCGCCACCAGCTGAGAAAACGGAGAGCAGAGAGACAATAGAGGATCACGGAATCTACTCTGGAATAGTCGGCCGATCCAGCATCATTCGGTGTTGAAAACTCGAGCTGTGAGGACGTAAGTGCTCCGATTTTAAAACAAAGTGATCCAAGTGTGTGAAAGTATTTATTACTTAATAAGTTTCCTAGACAAGTAAGTACATTACTAGCACATCAAATTTTAAAATCAATACAGAGATCACTGCTTTTTATATACGGCTCGTAATTTATCAACCTTTAACCCAAACCAGCGTCCTTATCACTGCGAATATATTCAGTCTATCTTGAGGCGTTTATTACTCATTGATGGTGCCGTTATTTTTGCGCTCGTAAATTTAACTCGCTTGTTTCTGACCCAATTTCCTCAATGCATCACTTCCTCTCCCTTTTGAAGGAGAATCTGGCACATGCAGTCCGATGGATATTTTTGCGTCATTTGTTTATCGCCGCAAGAACAATATCGCCGATTATATGCCCCTCTATATACATACTATACACATTCATCGAGGTCTATCCGCACAAAACGGACAAGGAACCAATTCGCTTTGTTTGCAGTTGTTTCAGTTGCAAATCGGTGGCAATTCTTTATTACTTGTTTGCACCCCCATAAATATCGTTCATAAATTTTCCCATATTTGTTTATACACTATAGTTATTTGCGATAAACATTTTGAGATGTAATTCGCAAGGAAATGTTTACCTCGAAATTAGCAATCGATGGATGATCGCCGCCATTGCAATTTATAATACTTTTTCCCGTTCGTTTCTCCTTAGGTCACGCAGTGGATTTGCATCCCAATTATAGATCGGATCGGATCGGACGGAACGCACTATTTAAACCATGGAAGGAGGAAGTCGAACATTTCAATTAGTATTCCTAGCTCTAATTGCAATCGCACAATGGCAAACGATTGCTGCGGGACCCGTCTCGTAAGTAAATGGGATTGATCAATTTATTTTAAAAATATGAGGATTTAATGCTCTTTTTAAGTTATCTTTTCCTGTATAAAAAAAAATATCAAATAGTTTTAAAAACCATCTGAAATATAATTGCTGTTTATCAATGCTTATTCAATTTATAAAGAAATTTAAAACACGGTCCATAGGACCGTGTTGCCATTAATTTTCATTTCTGTCTTCCACAATTCATATTAAAAGTTATTAGAAAAGTTTCATTATAAGAACCAAAACCATTTAGATTTTTAAGCCTAAAAAGCCCAATTAAACCACTTTGAGTGGAGTGCACTCGAAAACAATATCTTTGAGATAGTATCTTATAGAAGGGGGGCGGTAATTGGATGCTCAAACTTTCGGAATCCCCGCCTCCAAACTCTATTCCTCTATTCAGAGGAACCTCAGTTTCTAGCTCTCCCTTTTTTATGGTTCTGACACATGTCACACATTCGTTCGCACTTGGCTCCGGAGTGGTTCCCAATATAAATAATACCATTCTAGAGATCCCTCCTCTGGGAGTTTTTAGCGAAATGTGCAAGACTTCAGAATTAAAAGAAGTTGTCGGCGCCTGGGACCATCGCAATGGAGTATGGATGCAGTCCATGCACAGCCTCATCCACATCCACTAATGACTAATGCCTTCAAAGGGAAGCCAAGATGTTGTTTGTTTGTTTATTTTCGGACTTTGGACGGGACGGGCCCTGTTTTTACTGCACACTTCATGCAAATGGTGTTGCAGAGGGGATGGTAGCATGTGTTCTATGTTCCCCTCCAAATGTCTATGCCCTATCCATCAGCATCAATGCCTTTCACACACAAACAGCTTTCGGAATCGGGGAATAGGGTTCCTGACCCTGAGATCCCTCCCACTCACCACTTATCCCATATTCCATATCCACGATCCACGATCGCGATCGCGTCCCTCAATATTTATAGACGCCCTGATGGTCGGTGGTGGTCCCATCTATTCTGCATCTGCATCTGCACCCCGACTCCGATGATTAATGGCCTAGAGCGAGGCTAATTTTAAGAGCTCTCCTTTTCTCCCGACTCTTTGCAGCAACGAGGAGCTGCGGGGAACCATCCAGTCCCTGATCTACTCCTACAACCAGCTGGACAATAAGTTGGAGCGACACGAGCACAGGGAAAGGGCCTTGGGCGAACTGCTGAAGAAGGCTCTCCAAACCCTGCAAAAGGGCCAGAAGAGCCTGGAGCCCATCAATGGCAGTTTCGGGCGACTGGACGAGAGGGTCAGCCAAATAGAGACCATGCTAATTACGGTGAGTCTGGAGTAGGTTAAAAAATGTATTCAATTAGTTAAGAATTTCAAATGAAAATGGATATCCAACTTGAAGAAATTATAATCTAAACGATGAGAAATATAAATAGAAATATTACTTTTATTCTGAACTTTAGCAAGAGGAGAAGTACAACACGCAATCGGATCGATTCAACCAGGCCACGGAGCACATGTTCAAGTGGATGAGGGAGAACGACGAGTGCTTCAAGAGACCACCAGTTAGTGCCAACCTATTAGCTCCTCCAACCACGCCCCCCGCCCCAGCCATACCCAAGGAATTCCTGGAGGAGCAGAAGCGCCTCAACACCCAATTGTTGGAGGAGATTCAGAAGCTGTCGGCTAGTGTGGCCTCGCTGAAGGAAAGCAGCCAAAAGGCAGTCGTGCAAACGCAGCAGAATTTCGAGAGTCTTCCCAAGGGACCCGAGTTGCTGGCCCAGATCGAGGCCAAGTTGCAGGAACACGCTGCCAGCGTCACCACTGCCGCTCCTCCCAAGAATAATGAGTTTGAAGCTCAACTCCTGGAGCGTCTGGACTCGCTCAGTGGAAAAGTGGCTAATATCAGCGAGACTGTCCAGCGGCCTGCTGCTCCAGTTGGCCTTAACGATAAGGATAAGGCCTACATCCAGGAGCTGAACAACGAGACACTGAATGCCTTGGCTCAACTGAAGAGCGAGTCCTCAACTGCACAGAAATCGGGTAAGTAAATATTTAAACATAAATAGAGGAATTAACTTAACAAAATACAGATAATTATGTAACCTTATAATTCCCATTAATAATTTCGTGTTCCTTCAATTAAGCACTACTAAAATTTCATTTTTATTCAAATTTATTTTCCAACAAAGCCTTGACGGAGACCACGGAGCGACTGCAGCAGACGGAGGCCAACATCCAAGCGGACGTTCGCAAGCTTTCAACGGACTTGGGCGCTCTCAATGAATTCCTCGCTTCGGCAAATGAGAGCAATGCCAAGCTGAACGAAGGACTGGAAGCCCTGGGCAAGTTCAACAACATCATGATGACCAACTCGGAGGTGGTGCTGGACACACAGCGCAAGGTGGAGTTCGGCACGCTGAATGTGGTGCAGCGGGTGGGCAAGCTGCTGGAGGAGGAGACGGCTAAGCTGAGTGAGCTGCTGAAGGAGCGCTTCACACTGCTGGACGGAACGGTGGTGAGCACCCAACAGGAGGCGAACAAGAACATCAGTGGGCTGCTGGAGACGGAGCTGAACCAGGTGTGGCACCGCATCGAGATCATGGCCGGCGAGATCAGCCAGAGCAGTGAGATGCTCGGAGTGATTCAGTCCGCATCCGATGGCTACATCAACAGCACCCTGGCCACGATGATGGGACTCGGCAGCCGAGTGGAGGAGACCAAGAAGCACATGATCGACATGGACGAGAACCTCAACTTCCTATTGGGCAAGCTTTCACTGATGTCCAGCGAGTTCGCCAATATCAAGAAGGGCCTGGCCGAGTCCCTCGAGGATCTGCGCAACTCCTTCCATGTCCTCCACGAACGGATGCCCACAGGTCCGGGTCCTCATAACATCGACAAGAACAAGTACTTGACCGATGTCAATCTGCTGTCCAAACGCCACGCTGAACCTGAAAGGGAGTAGTCGGATTTAACGAGAAATAAAAAATACAATACTTCTAACCATAGCGTATAAGTCTGCCCACTTACTTATAATCATTTAGTTGCGCTTAAGCCTAAGGAAGAATCTGGTATTAAATGTAATCATGGTTATCAAAACCTATTCATTGAGTGGATATAACTTAAGCGCAGCTGTACATATTTATGCAAATTGATCTTAAAACTGAAAACCCTGCCCCGAATACACTTCATTACGAACAATACACTTTTGTGGTTTATTCTTACGAGCTAAAGGAATTCCTGGCGATAATTTACATAAAGTTAAGGTAACTAGTTAATATAAGGGTTTCGTTTTCCACTAATGGCGGCGTGTCTACGTGCCCCACCGTTGTTCGCATCGCGAGTACTTGCACAGGATGTTGGCGAACGTTTCCACGTCGAAGCGGCGGCCACTGGGATGCGTGTGGAACTCTGTGAAGCGCACATGCCAGGGCAGCAGACCATACGTGCACGTCTGCCTGGAGAATACCATGCCCAACTCTGGTTCCGGGGCTTCGAAACCGAGTCGCTGATTTAGCATGCCGGTGATCTTTTCTGTAAGCGCCTCGCGCTTCTGCTTGAGAAGATCTTGCACCATTGGCGTCTCCCTACCTTGGTAGAGCTCTCGGCAGACGTCGGCGATTAGAGCATGGCCATCGGAGGGGCTGATTTGATGTAGCTGCAAGACGGAAAAGCCAAAAACTCAATTAAAACTTGATAAGGCAACGACGATTAGTTCCGGGAATCGGTTGAGATACCCTTGCGAATAGTTGATTGATTTCGTTTTAACTTAATCTTATTACATCAGATATTATTAGGCATGGGAAACATAATGAGTTTTTGTATTGAAACTGAACTTTAAAACTAACAGTTTAAACATGGTATATGGTTAAACATAAGCTAAAAATTTGTTTGCAAGGGTATTAAACGATTCGTTATCCGGACACCCACAATCAGTTCGCTTATCAGTTCCCGCCGCTCACCTGCAGTTGAGTGGAATGTGAGCCATTGGCCCCGTTCACATAACCATTTGTCTTGAGTTTGGGCAGAGTCTCTGAATTGCTGGGACTCGGTGGCCATACAAAGGATCTGCCTTTCTCCTCGCTGGTCGAACGACAGAGTTCAGCTAGCTCCACATAGCCCTTGTCTTTTTCCCGCCTGTCGTATAAACTGACATGCTTGATGCCCACAAGTAGGGCAAAGTCGAAGATCCTCCGCAGGAGCACCGCATCCACACCAGCGTCCGCGGGCGAGATGACCAGGACCAGATGCTGTGGCGTCTTGGTCAACTGGGAGCGGCAATCGGCGAGCACGCGCCGCTCGTGGAGCTCACGTGCCGCTGGGCTGCGCCAAAGGTCATATGACCAGCTGACCCACAATGCATTCAGGCGCTCTCGCAGCCGCCAGAGCAGCTCGTAGCTGCCGATCAGGAGCAGCAGAATCCTGCCTAGCAGGAGGCACAGCACCTCAAACATGTCGGAGGGTCCAGCAAGCAGTCCCTTTCGCTTGGAGTCCGCTCCTGTTGCTTCTTCGATTCCCCTTCGCAGTGTACACAAGCGAACATAACCTGAAAAACGGGACATGGATCGGGGGATTAGGGGATTAGGCGAGCCGGCGGACTACCCACGGTTATCCAGGGTCACTTGGCTACCTGCTCAGTCACTTGGGGCGCGGGGTCATCGTGTTATCCAAGCCGATCCAAGTTTTAACCGATGCGCTCTCTCAGAATAATGAAGTACGTGTTCTAGAGAGTGACCAGATGGGGTAATCAAAATATACCAACTGAACATGTTAATATTGCATGCTTGCTTAAATTTAAAATTTTTTTTTAATTTAAGAAAAGTAGTTTTATTTATAATTATGTTTTATAGTTTCCGGTGGAAGACGTGGGTTTTATGAGTATTAAATCCCACCTGAAATTTCATAAGGCGGATAATTACCCGCCTGAAAAATAACGACGGCGGTCGACAATATCAGGGAGTTGCCTTCACGGGGAATTTACTCAGAATCACATACGATCGAAACGAGAAATAGCTGGAAATCTTAGCGTTACGACTCGAAATACTTTTAATGCGTGCATTGAAAATTAAAAATTTATTAAAATTGACCAATTTGTTTTTTTTTAGTTAAAGAAATATATAAAAATACTAAAATGGAGATAGGCATTATAGGGTTAAAGGCGTTGACGTTCTGCAGCTGTCGTGTTGTGGTCACACTGAAAGCCACGCCAAGTTTGCTATTATTTTCGCCTTTGCCGGTTTTGTGACTTGTCTTCTCGTCGGTTCTACGAAATAAAAACTGCAGTCCTCTGCCAAATCAACTGATAAAACAAAGGTGAGAAACGCCAGTTATATGCTTTCTCTGTTGCACAGTATTTATTTAAGCGGGGCTTTGTTTTTTTTTTGCTTGCCAATTCTAATTCGCCGGCTGAAACTGTCTGGTGAATTTTTTATAGGCGAGGGGTGGGTGGAGGGTGCATTTGTGGGAGTGTGTGTGTTTGCTGGCCGTGTGGGTGTTTTTACATATACAACAATACAGCCAAATAAAAGAGCCAAAGACAAGAGACAGCTGTGTGATGGCTATTTTTGTGTGATTCATTTTGTTTGTAAAATAAATTCTATATAGTGTATTTTTAACTATGATTTCATATCCGATTCCATGCCTTCTAATGCTTTTAAATTAATTGCCAGCAAGTGTATGCAAATTAACCTTTAGCAGGTGCCTGCTTGGTTTGTTAACCCCATCATGATAAAAAAATAACTACTCAGCTGTTGTGGCCATCTTTTGTTTTTGTTTCTGCTGACTCACACACAGGCAAACGCACACACCGACACAAAAAACTTATATATATACTATGTATTTACGCAAGACCGAACCCAGTTGTTTGTGTTTGTATGCGGATGACTCAAAATATTGGCCAAATTGCGCTATCAGCGAATTGCGATTGAAAAGAGAGATTACTAAAAGTTATGTTTGCTTTCGGTGGAAAAAGAGTTACTTCCTTTCCTTATAAGGTGCGAATTTTAAGTTTACCATTTTTTATTACTTGTAATTCGAGCTCTCTCACGCACACGCTTGTGGTCTAAGTAACGGTTCCTCAGCTGCAGACATTTAATCTTCTTGATTTCTAGTTTTTTTCCTCCTTTTTTCTTATTTTTGCACGCAACAAACGCATCTGCAGCAAAAACAACAACTACAAGGAGAACTAGTATCGCCAGGCGAAAGTTGAATCTCGGTTTACTTCTCTTGTAAAACTTCCTCCCCTTCAGAGATACTGATTTATGTGTTCCCCCTCTAATTGCCAACCTTTGTTTTAAGCTACTTAAAGACAAAAACAACTTCACCGGTGCAATAAACTCATTGCAACTTAACAGCTTAAACAAAAACACGCAAAATCGGGAAAAAGCTACGTTGAAAGTGGAAGTTTTTATACCCTTGCCAACTACTATAAAAGCTTAATGCTTAAACATTTCCCTCCAATAGAAAAAAACAGAGGATTGGAAAAATTCCAATATGTACATATGTATGTATATAGATAATTTTATGGGAAAGGCTTTATTTTTTTAAAACCAATAAATCTAGAGGATCGGCAAAACTTTCCTCACTGCCATACAAACAGATAACAACCGAGTCTTTTGTAGCCACTGCAGGGTATGGCAAAAATCAAAGCAATGTCTGCGCAACTCTCTCAGAGAGTTTTCCCATTTTCCGCCTCGAACTGAAGCTTTCTCTGCTGCAAAATGTGCATGATTTCGATGCTTGCATAAATCTTGAATGCCAGGCCAAAAGCGGGTAATAATGAAACACATTTTCATTGCCAGTTGATGGCTGGCCCGAAATGGTCAAACGCAGCGGCTTTAACCCGAAAAAGGCAACAAAAACTCAACAGTTAACAGCGGGGCTAACTCTCAGCAATTAACAGCGAGAGAGTCCTTCGAACTCGAACTCGAATCCGAAATTCCAATCGGAATCCGAACGAGTGGGCGTGCGCTTCGTTTAGGGTGTGTTCTCCGTGTGTAAATCGCATTTGTGTGTCATTTAGTCCTGTGCTTGGTAGTCACTTGACCCAGTTGGAGGTCCGGAGCATTTCGTGGACCAGCCTAGCCTTCATTTTAATGTGCCAATATATCTTTGGGCCAAGGATATACACATAGCTAAATGAGCAAGGAGTGGCCTCCGTTCTGAAGCCTCGAACATAATTTGTAAGACTGCTGCTGCTGCTGATGTGATGTGATGCCAGTGTTGTGACCGCCGCTTGGGCAAATCGGGGAATCCGAAATCCACAAACGGAAATTATATAATGTGCTTGATTCATATTTAAAGTGTTGAATACCGGGGAAATCCAAACAGAAAACCGCCTGCACAATGTTCTCCTGCTGTCGATCGAATCCCAAGGCGGGCAAGAAGGAGAAGGATAAAAAGGGCGAGGAGCACGAAGAGCAGGCCAACGAAAAGGGGGAGTCCCAGCCAAATGGAAAGTCGGAAGTGCAGAAGGAGTCACCAAACGAGGATCCAAAGAATCCTGACACAAAACCAGAAAAGGAGACCAGCCGAGCGGATAATCCAGCAGATGAAGGCACCCAGGAAAACATTGGTATTGACGCAACCCTAAGTATTATGTACTCGTACACCACTCTATGTACTCTCCGGCTTTTGAGCTCAACAGCTGTGTCGGCTTTCGTGTTCTCTCCGGAACGAATACCCGTATCCGGCCGGCTCTCAACCACTGCACTGTGTTGCAGCTGACCAGTACTTCTCCCTCTTTTTTTTAACTACTTAAAGAGGCTTTTATAGCCCTTTTCAGTTCACTTTTCAGTTGTCTTCACTTTGCTTTCCATTGAGTTTATTTCTGTACATTTTATAAGTGAAGAATATCAAGGAACAGCGCCGATACGCAGTTGATTAATGAGGTTTTGCTAATGACATTGCATACTATGTATGTATTAAAATCATACGCATCGATCAATGTGTTCGTAAAATATAATACTTATCTAGTTGGGCTTCCAAAATTAGAAACACAGACGAAGGTTAAGGTGTTCTCCAAATGAATAAAATAATATTGAAACATATCCATACTTATAGAACTTTTAAGATTTCTATTTGTTTACGATTACTTAACCGCAGCTTAGTCTACGATATTCAATCAAAGATAAAGAATGAGAAACTAACTACTTAATTTATCAATGACCATGACATCATAGTTGTGATTGAAAAAGCTTTGTAAACGCGATAAATAACAATAATGAAACCAGGAAGCGAGTGAGCGAAGACTAAAGCGAAGTAATCAACATAAGTATCGGCGCTTTCCTTGATGGTCGTCTGTGTAATTCGAGCTTCATGTAGAGTAGTAATCTTGAGCAACACTTCCACAGCCCAACCAACCCAGTCTGAAGCGGCTAATAAATCACCACCAAGTCAAGCACCAGCACCCGTTGCAGTTGCAGATTCAACTTTAAGGCCAGATTCCGCACCCAAAGAAACGGAGTCGTTGGCCCGCTCAACGCACTCTTCCACATCCACGGCACCGCCCGCCTCGATGACCAGCGCCGATGCCGAGGAACCGGATGAGGTGGTGGTGGCAGCAGTTACTCCGACCACACCGCCACCCCAACCACCGCCCACCAAGAGCTGCCTCTCCAGACACAACTCCACACATCAATCAATTAAGAAGAAGGTGAACATCAGCAACCGGGCGGAGATCATTGAGCCGGATCCGGTGCCGCTGCTTCTGCTGGCCAGCCACAACCAGGGCTCCCTGCTGGACGACGACGAGGTGTTCTCCGACTCACTGCCTCCGCCGAAGAGGGAGAGCATGTGTGCGCCGTACATCGAGGGGGATGTCGTTTCGGAGACAGTGTTCTTTGCCCACGGACTGCCCTCCTGGTTCGATGACGAGCGACTCAATGAGCTGTACGATGGTTAAAGTCTTTCCACAGATCCTGTACTGGTTTACCGATACATGCTTGGGTTACCCAACCTAGGTGTGGGTCCAAAACTCAAGCAAGTTTCGTTGAAACCTTTGCAGGCTGACCTCTTGCGCTCCTTTCGTATCGTTTGAATATCGCCTCCTCTGAAATCGTTCCATGTCCAGCGGCTGCATCGAGCCACCGGTCACGCCGGTGGGACGCGACGAGCTGGAACTGAAGCGCCAGCGACTCTACACAGAGCTCCTGCGGGCTGCTCACGCGGCTGTGGAGCACAGCGTGGCCGTGCGGGGTATGCGAGCTTCGATAGAGTCCGATTCTTTAGTTCTTTTCGCTCTCAGATATTTGATGCTCGCATAAAGATAATTGACTTAAACTTAAAATGTTAGCTACAAGAAAGAACGTCGTGTCCTTAAGGCTCACTTATCTTTTTAGCCAAACATCAAAAGCAAAGTCAATTAACTTTATTCAAGTGTTCAACTAGTACTTCTCTCTTTAGTTGTTCCGTTGAATCTTGTGCCGTTTTTGCATGTCGTATATTACTTTCACTCGTTGGGATTAGCTCCTTTTGCATCGTTGATTAATTAATGTTACGAGCACTTTTTTTATTCACGCATCATCATTCACAAACTCATGTTGAGATTGTTCTCGAGAAGCTTTTAGTTCAGATATTGTGAATGCACTTTTTTGGGGGTTTATCACTCTGAAACATCACGTTACTTATGTATTTATATTTCCTATGGAACTCAATGTTTTTTTAGTACTGTTGGTCAACCCAGCTTTGTTAATATTTTCCTATCTTTACGCGGTTTTTGGTTCAGATAACGAGCCGGAAGCCAAGCCCACGGCTGCTGCGGAGCACTTGGAGAGCATTTGCGAGCGACTCGACCGACTTGTCGACCGATTGGAAAGGACTTTAACAGCGCCACAGCCCATTGAACTGCCCACGCCCACTCTTCCGCCCCCCGCCAACCGAAGAAGAAGTTGAAGGAGCTCTTCCAGAGAAACCAGAAACACCACCACCACCTCCACCGCCGCCCAGCAGCAACATGAGTGTCGCCGGATTCGAGGACATTGTGGCGGGTCCGCTGAGCCAATATCTGACCCTCTCCGCTAAAATTGGCGGTGATGTGGCCCAGCATGCGGAGCTCGTCAAGAGCGCCTTTGGGTGAGTCAGCGTGGGTGAGTCATAGATGTGCAAAGTAATTAAAAACATTGTTCCCGCCAACAGCTTCCAACTGCAGTACGTGACGCTGGCCACTCAGATTGCCCAGCCGGCGCAGCCCAAACAGGCGGAGCTCCTGAAGCCGACCTCGACGCAGATCAGCGCCATCCAGGACTTCCGCGAGAAGCACCGCTCCTCGGCCTTCTTCAACCACCTGTCGGCCATCAGCGAGAGCATTCCCGCCCTGGGTTGGGTGTGCGTGGAGAAGACTCCGGGGCCGTATGTCAAGGAGATGAACGACGCCGGCCAGTTCTACACGAACCGCGTGCTGAAGGAGTGGAAGGAGAAGGACGTGACGCACGTGGAGTGGGCCCGCGCCTGGGTGCAGACCCTGACCGAGCTGCAGGCCTACATCCGGCAGTACCACACCACGGGTTTGGTATGGTCCGGCAAGGGAGCCGCTCCCGCCGGCGGTGCCCCGCCACCACCACCACCTGGTGGTCTGCCCCCACCGCCACCGATGCTCGATCTGAGTGCCCTCAAGCTGGACAGCGCCGGAGATGATCGCAGCGCCCTGTTCGCCCAGATCAACCAGGGTGCCGACATCACCAAGGGTAAACAGTAATTTAAAAATTCTACTTCAAGCTTTTCTAATCTTTGTTTTTGGTTATGATATAGGCTTGAAGAAGGTCACCGGGGACATGCAGACCCACAAGAACCCCTCTCTGCGTACAGGACCGGCTCCCTTCAAATCGCCCGCCCAATTGGGTGGCAACAAAGCTGCGCCCGCTCCACCGACTGCTGCGAACAAGCCGCCCGTTTTCGAGCGCGATGGCAAGAAGTGGATCATCGAGTACCAGAAGAACAACACTGGCCTGGTGGTAGAGAATGCCGAGATGAACAATGTGGTGTATGTGTTCCGCTGCGAGGGATCCACGCTGACCGTCAAGGGCAAGGTGAATAACATCGTGTTCGACTCGTGCAAGAAGTGCTCGTTGCTGTTCGACTCTGTCGTGGCCTCCGTGGAGTTTGTCAACTGCCAGAGCGTCCAGATGCAAGTTCTGGGCTCAGTGCCGACGGTTTCGATCGACAAGACCGATGGCTGCCAGATGTATCTGTCTAAGGACTCGCTCGGCGTGGAGATTGTCAACTCCAAGTCTTCGGAGATGAACATCCTCTTGCCCGATGCCTCCGGCGATTATGTGAGATTTTACTGCTTAATCTTTGTTTTTCTTTGATAATTGTTTTGTGTTTTATTAACAGACCGAGTTGGCTTTACCGGAGCAGTATAAGACCACGATTGCCGGCAAGACCCTCAAGACTGTTTGCGTCGACAGCCTGGGCTAATGTGGAACTCCACCAGGGGATCCAATCCATTGCTTTTCCAACTGTCATCGGCAAGAAGCATGCATTAGCCAGACAGCAATCATAATTGTATTTAATGTTAAGTGCAAAGTTTTCGTAATTCTGAGATTTTTGGATCAAACTTTTCGTAATGGAGAGACGATGTTGCCAAACTTTGCTATCCTGGCTAGTGGAAAGTATTTATATAATTTATTTCGACGGAAAAGCGATGGTCACAAAACCGAACCCAATGTATTTATATCGAGAGTATGTGTAATGAAACTGTGCACGAAATTCGAACTTTTTAAGCAGACTCTTTACTCGATCATCAGAAGGAACTCTTTTTATATTCTATTTAAATAAAATTTAAACATTTTTTATCAGATAAATGTGATTTTGATGGGAATGGGAAAAAGTTGAAAGCACATATCACTTTGTGTAAACGTTTATTAATTGTTCGATAAAATTCAAACAGCAAGCTTCATTCGATTTCAATTTCATTTTCTATTTAAATAAAATGTCAGCACTTTTTATCAGATAAAAAAATGAGAACTTGATTTATTGCTACATACATTTACAATTTCTTTAATTAAGCCAAGCTCAGAATGCGGGGTCCGGGGGTTAATTTGGTTGGGAATGGCTGGTGGCTAATACTAGGACCCTATATCTTCTTGTACTCGATACGCTCCACCTTGACCTCGTCTCCAATCAGCTGGTAGACATACGTGACCACAGTGGTGCTCTGAATATCCATGAGAACAAAAGAGGGCACCACATTTGTGTCCAGCGGATTGAAAGCCCCCGTGGCTGATCCCGGATTGATGTAGAACTTGTTCCCGTGCTCGTAGGCCTCGAATTTGTACGTGTGTCCTGTGATCAGGATGTCCACGTCCAACTGTCGCTGTATGAGGGCCAGTGCCTCCGGATCGCCGCGGGGAACCACCTGGTGACCGTGGCACAGGCCGATCCGGAACTGGCCCACCGTGACCACCTTCTGCTCCGGATATGTAAGGTTCTCATCGAAATCACCGCGCACTATGTGCACATCGTTGGCCAGGGATTTTAGGTAGTCGTAGGACTCCTTGGTGCAAATGTTTCCGGTGGCTAAGATGTGGTGGATGCGGCCCGGCACCAGCAGCTTCTTGAACTTGGCCGGCAGGCTGCTACACCGGTGCGGAATGTGCAGGTCGCCGAGTACCAGAACGAGCATGGTGTCCTTTGTATTACGGTTTGTTGTGTTTCCCAAAAAAAATTGTGAAACGCCCAGCGAATCTGCCGATAGGTTGCAGCGATAACAACTACTGTGCGTCTATCGGTGGTGGTGGCATTTTTCAGTTGGAACATTGGAAAGGTAATTCTGGCGGGGATTGAAATATAAACAATGATTTTCTGTACTGAGGCACCCTACTTAAAAATCGACCTTTGCGCATCTCTACCGATAACATTGCCGGCGAAAATGGAAGCGGACCAAGCAGCAAGCAAAGAATGTGCGTATTTAAAAACAAATAAATACCTAAAAACAACAAAACATAAGCATAAAATTTACAGCCGAGACATGCATCGATCTCCTGGTGATCGTGCTGGACACGAATCCCTCGCAGCACATAGTGCGCCAGAACCCACAGAACCTTACCCAAATCCTGGAGGCGGTGATTGCCTTCGGAAACGCGCATCTCATGCAAAAGGCCCAAAACAAACTGGCTGTGTTATCCTGCTCCCATCATGCCACGTGAGTAGAGTCCTTAGGAAATCGTTTCTTGTAAACTGATATTTTTTTCCTGCAGAAATTTCCTGTATCCGCTGCCTAGGAGGCAAGTGGAACTGCGTCAAGTGGATGGACAGTATGAAGCGTTTAGTTTAGTGGAAAAGACAGTAAAACAGCAGCTCGGCAGCATTCTTATGAATGCTCCACGTCTCAGTGCTCCTTGTGAGAGTCTCCTGGCTGGCAGTATGTCCATGGCCCTGTGTTATATATCTAGGGTAAGGAAACCTTTTATGACAACCCATTAAATCGTATTTTTAATCCAATCTTATTCTTCTATAGCTCCAAAGGAATGTAGCACCTGGCGTTAAGATGCATTCCCGCATCCTGGTCCTGACCGGCAGCAACGAGTGCGCCTCCCAGTACATGACTTTCATGAACGTCTTCTTCACCGCCCAGAAACTAGGCATTGTGATCGATACCTGCGCATTGGACAAGACACTAAGTTTGCTCCAGCAAGGCTGTGATATTACCAACGGTCAGTTCCTGAAGGTCACCCAGTTGGACGGGCTGCTACAATACCTACTGTGGGTCTTCCTGCCCGCCCCGCAAATCCGTCACAAGTTGGTCCTGCCACCACCGCCAAAGGTGGACTACCGGGCCTCATGTTTCTGCCACCGTGAGCTCATTGATATTGGTTATGTTTGTTCGGTTTGTCTTTCGGTCTTCTGCAAATATAGTCCAATTTGCACCACATGTCAGTGAGTATCAGCAATGCATTATTTGACTAAATTTATGATGATGACATTTTTCCCTTGCAGCACAATTTTCAAGAATCCAGGACCTCTGCCAATCAAGGCTAAAAAGAAAAAGAAGACCGATAAGCAAATGTAATTCTGGTAGTTCCAAATACTGCTCACCGAAAGAAGCAGTACGATAAATATAAGGTATTTTTTAATTAAAAGAAGGCATTACATTAATTGCGTTTTTCGAAGCATCATCTTCTGCGCGGGAATCAAACAATTTAACGTATAGAACTAACATTCAACAGCTTTATTTTTTTGATCACATATTTCTGGTTATTTTGCTGAAATACATTGGCCCAAAGTTAGCTGGCAGATAGGGCACCACCATCTGTCCATATTTGAGTCCTTTGGGATGCTCAAACTTGAAGACATCGCTGAAGAGCGCCGTATGCTGACTAAGATCCTTGATAGTGGCTGTAATGCCGTGCTCCATGAACACTTTCTGTAGTGCCATGTGCACCACACCATCGTTTTGGATGGGCGACAGCGAGCAGGTGGAGTAAACTAAGCTGCCACCTGGACGCAACAAGCGTAAGCAATTGGCTAAGATGCCTGCCTGAAGCTCGGGAATACGCAGACGCTCCTTGATCCTTGAAGGCTTAAAAATATTGTTGTCCTGTTCGTTGAGCACATGGCGATCCGTGGTGCAGGGCACATCCACCAGGATCTTGTCGAACTGCTCAAATTGGTCGAGGTTTCGAGCGTCACTCTGACTGAAAATGAGCCGCTTTCCAGCCCATCGTTCCTTGTAGTCAAACAGGTACTCCTGCATCACTTTGCGCAGCTTATTTAGGCGGGATTCCTGGATGTCATTACACACTAGCTGGTCCAGATGCAGGGTCTGCAGCATGAGCAAGGACTTGCCGCCAGGAGAGGCACACGCATCGAGCACTCGCTCTCCAGGCTTCACTTGCAGGAAAAGAGGGGGCAAAGTTGAGGCGCCATCCATCATGAAGTGAGAGAGGACGCCTGTCAAGCACTTTTGGGTCCCTTAAAGTCGGAGCAGTTCCCCTTTTCGTAGGTGTACAGGGAGAGATGCTCCGGGAAGTAAAACGAATCCTCCGGTTCAACAGTGAGTGGAAAATCGGCGCTGGTTTGGTAGTACTTATAGTGTTCCGACTCTGCCACCCAATCCTCCATGCCCTTGATGCTGTGGGCAGGCATATATTCGTACAATCCACCAGTTCCGAACTGGGGATCCACCAAACGATTGTCATCCAGCTTTACATCTTCCTCCAAAGCCTTTGTCAAGCTCTGTTTAAAGGGATTGCTGAATTCCTCAGGCTGCTTTTCCTCTATGTTGTCGAACTTCAGTTGTTGTGGCAGGGGATTAGCTGCACCATCTTCCCCTGAACTCGGGTAAATGGAGGCCACCTCGCGTTCCTGCTGTTTTCGCAGCAGTGCATCCAGTTTTCCCTCTATTTCATGGCGGGATTTACCCTGTTCGGGCAAAGTTTCCGTGCTGTCTTTCAGACGTTCCTGGGCCAGGTTGATCAAGGACTTCATGTTGATGGCTCCATCTGTTTCCAGCATGCTGCAAGTCTGCTCCGTGTCCCCGAAATTGTTCACCATGGCGATGTACTTGTGCCGCGTGAGAAGAGCCGCCCGCATGTTCTTCCACCGACTGCCGTAAACACTCCCGTAGAAATCATCGAAGTTTTCAAGAGCCCGGTCGCAATTGTTCTTCTTGTTCTGCAGGACGTTCCATCGCTTTTTGGCTCCGCTTTTCCATCTTCTGGGCAGCAGGAAAACGTTGCGTACTTTCAACATTTTACACAACTGTGGAGACCGGCAAACTGATTACATGAAACCATATGTTTCTGCGAGATTATCGATAGATTGGGAGGTGAATGGGGCTGACTTTTGGCGCCAAAAACAATCGAAATTTAAAAAGTGATAAGGAAAGTTTAAGTGGGAAAAATATGGGTGTGTATAGTTTCTATTTTATCCATAATTAGATTTGTTTGGTTTATATTCTGAAATGAGTACACAAGTTTAATAGCAGTTCTGAACACGCCACATATTGTTAGGCTAAAATTAAAATAAAGAAAGAAACTGCGGGCATTCACCTTGCATTTCCATAGAAACTGAAGGTGTTGCCGATTTGCCCTTTCCTCCCAATATGAAATAAACACAAGGCATCCACTAACACGTCGCTTTATTTGTAGACAACTTTTGAAATCAAGAGTGTTAAGTACATTAGGCGGGCTGAAGTGCTTGTCCGTAATTGCACACGGCTACTAACTAAAGGGTTACAGCGATCTAAAACGTACAGTGCATCCTCCGAATGGAGAATCTTAAAATCAGCGCTTCAAAATGATCTTAAAATATTTCGAATGTCAATGGGAAATCCCTGAGATAGTTTCGAAACCAGATTTTAAAATCTCCACTCCAGGGGGGCATTGCATAATTTGTAATTGGTATTTACAGTCCAGTATTGACCATTTTATTCGGTGCTAGCAGCGAGTAATTGAGGCAGGGTTATTGAAGAGAGTTTGGGCTTAGGACTTTGCGGGCAGCTCCTTCAACGGAGTCTTTTCATCCTTGGCCTCGGGATCCTTGGGGGAACCAGCCTTATTCCACGACTGTTCGGAGCCAGAGCCCAAAAACACAAACACGAGGAATTCCAGAGCGAACAGGACAAGGGTCACGCCGAAGATGATGCGCCATGCTCCAATGTTTTGCTACGAAAATAAATGAAATCATTAAAATTTGGCTGGGAAACTGGGTGAATGTAATGCTTACATTTCCCTTGGTGACAAATCCCACGAAAAGAGGCACCACAATTCCAGGTAAAGTAGCCGCCGTGTTGGTCAGCGCAACCAGAGTTCCGGCGAAATTCGGTGCAATATCGATGTGGTTGGACAGGAAGCCGGAGAACATGGCACCCATGGCCACAATGCCGACGGACATGACGGACACGGCCTCATAATGGCGACAGCCGATGTAGCAGAGAATCAGCAGACAAACTCCAGGAATCAGAGTGCAAATCGAGGTGGCCGTCTTGCGGGCAACCGTGGTGGTTATTTTACCTTTAATCGAAAGGAAGTATATGAAATAAAAATATAAATTCTATTAATAAGTTTAAATGATTGAAAATAAAGTACAGAGTAACAAAATCTATAAAGGGTTTTTAAGATCAGATTATTTTTTGTATAATACGTATAGGAGGTACATTTAACTAATATAAGTAAAGAATGTGTATCCCAACTCACCCTTGGCCTGCAGGCTGTCCAAGAGCTTTCCGAGGCAAATACTGAAGATGATCATGGGGAAGTAGGGCATGGCACTGAGTGCCGCGTTGCTGGCCACGTTGAACTTGAGCACCTGCTTCATGTAGAAGGGGATCTCGATGAGGAACATGTACCAGCCGAAGTTGTTGCACGTGTGTGCGATGAGGATGGCCCAGAAGGGCACGGACTTGAAGACCTTGGCCCAGGGGACCGGGGGATGGTGCTCCACCTTCTGTTCGGTGCCCAGCGAGCTGGTGATCATCTGCCGCTCCTCGGGGCTGATGAACCGCTGCTTGTTGGGATTGTCCTGCACCAGGATGATCCAGAGCACCATCCAGATGCAGCTGAGGGCGCCCATCACATAGAACACCGATTCCCAGCCCCAGTTGGCCGAGCAAACGCCGGCGAGGAGGATCGAGAGAGCCGTGCCCGCCGACGTGCCCACATAGATGATGGTGGACATGACCATTCGCTCGGTGGGCGGAGCCCAGGCGGCAATCATCACGTGCATCGCGGGGAAGGAGGCTCCTCCGCCGACGCCCTCGAGCACTCGCATCAGGATCAGGCCGCCGTAGTGCAGATTGGTGAATACCGGAGTGAGCAGGGTGCACACCACGTTGATGGCCACCGAGAAGAGCATCACCCACTTGGCCGAGAAGTTCTCGGCCACGTGCGCCAACGGGATCTGGGAGACGAGGTATCCCCAGAAATAGCAGCTCAGCAGGGTTCCCTGCAGCGGTTCGCTCCAGTCGAAGGGTCCGTTCTCAGGCGCAACGCCTGCTGTTGCATTGCCTCCCGGCGGAAGGCACTCCTCCACCTGGCTGCCATTCGAGCTGGCGTGCTCCGAATGGCTACTCTCTCCGTGGGCCTTGATGGCCGTGTGGTTCAGCATGGCCACCATGGCCACGCTGAGATTCACCTTCAGTCCGTAGACAATGGCCATGCCGATGGAGCCCAGCAGGGCCAACACATAGCGAGCGGGCACAAGTTCTGAAAGCAGAAAGTTTGGAAAGGTTGGAAAAAAAATAAACAAATTGTTACTCCACTTTCAAAAAGATTAAATAGGGTATACCGAAGTTACAGAAAATTACTTTAAAACTCTGTACTTTCAAATAAATAATTTTAAATAGTATTAAGCATATTTTAGAGTAAATTAAACAATATAAAGAAGAAAAAATAAGAAAAAGATTTACTTCCAAAAATATTTTATAGGATATACAGAAGTTATAGAAAATTGCTTGAAAATTGTGTACTTTCAAATAAATTATTTTAAATAGTATTTAACATACTCTAAAGTAAATATTGCCAAGTAAAAAAGAAATAAACAGAAAACCAATTTATCAAAGAAAGCAATATTGCATAAGCATTTTAAATATTTGCTCAGCAGCGTGGGGCAAGCCAATTTTTTTAATGCCGGCGATATTCCTATTGGCCAATTCAATTGCTGTTCGACGACTTTCAATTAACGTTGATACGGAATGCTAAATAAGACCATTTAAGCAAGTTAGGGAATTAGTTCTGGGCTTCCTTTTTCGCCATTTTTCGTACGCAAAGGAGTGGAGTATTTTTAGGGACATGACACCATTTGGACACAAGGAACCCAGTCACCTGGCGACCCACGAGTTCTTCACAATAGAACTGTCCCCCGATAAGTGGCAGTTGGGAAGGGTCAGTATATAGAACTATTGCACGCGCACCACCGATACCAGAACGATTATAATCCGTACCTTTTGAAATCGGAAAGGGGCAATCATGTCTGGCAATTAAGAGCGCACGTTGCGATAACGAGGGTTATAAATTCGTGGTCTTTGTTTTCAATTTCACTTTCATGGCTGTCAAAAGTGGGCCTTTCGAGATGGCAACCCGATTATTTATGTTTGCTAATTGCTTAAATGATACTGTGGGTATTATTATATCAATGCCTTAGAAAAAGTCTATCATTTTTCTTGTTCTTTCGAGCAAAGAAGATTATACTTTTCACATTGATTCAAATTTGAAGTAATTATTATTGTAATTATTATTATTTTAATTATCAATATGATAACGAGATATTTTTTTACAATTCCTAGAAGAGTATCCTGTCCTCGGTGGACTCTTTCTCTCTAAACACTTTATTACTTAATCTTTATTTGACTTGGGCTAAATGCTGGAAAGCACCAATACCTTTCAGTTGGCAAGCATTCATAAATTCCCCCAGAGTTGTTTGATTAGGTGGGGCGTGGTGGTAAAGCTCAAGTGCTTAGGGTAATCTATAAAGTGCTAAATTAAGGGCGACAGATCCAGGATAATGTATCCATTAAACACAATTATATGTCTTGTTTGCCTTCGCTAATTATTTTGAGAAAAATATCACAATTGTTTTGAGAACAATTAAATAAGCATTTTATGACTTTGCAATCTCATCTCTATTATAAAATATTCAATTTTAGAAAGACTGACAGTTGATTGATTTCTCTTATGAAATTCAATATTTCACAATAACTGATAGTAAAAATATAAAATTACAGAGAAACTATTTCATGAAAAAAAGATAGATTACAAGCAGCTATTGATATATTGATATAATGATATTTTGTATTATTATCAATACGTTAAACATTTTTGTATTCACTGTCTGTGTTTATCATAAAAAAACTCATACATTTCTGATTAGAAATTTTTGAAGCAGACCCCTCTGTGAATCGACTTGCGTTTATCAAATATGTTTACACGTGCCGCATAAAATTTTCGCAGTTTGATTCGAGTAAACAGTATTATTTACCACACTCAAAAGCTTGGCAAACCGTCGCCGCTTTTGTTGGGATAGGTAGACGACTTTCAAGAATGTCGCGTTTGTTTGGGGTATACCTATATACAAATTGGCTATATATTTATTGTTTACATCTTTGACTTCCATTCGACCTTGTCCGGACATCAATCCCTGGGCATAAAAACGACAAAAACAAATCAAATATTCCCAGTGGCGTGGGCAGTAATCTAAAAAAAGCCGCAGCAACCTAAACATAAAGGATATGGCACACACACACACACACACATACACAGAAACACAAATGAAGCAGAAATAAGGAAGATTCCTGGAACTCACGCACACGAACGACCTTTGTGCCGGTTTCGAGGTCAAAGTTTTGTCTTTAATTTTATCTTGGCCTTGCGAAATACTTTTGCCCACCCACTTGTTGCACTTGTGCATCGCCGGATGATGCATTTTCCGGATGCAATCTCGAAACAGATGGTTCAGATTTATTGACCAGTGAACTAAACGTTAACTTACTGCCCAATATGCTGCCCTTGGCAGGCACCTCGTCCGTCATCTTGGATATTCCGAATATTTAGCTGGCGACCCGGAAAATGCAAATAGTTTTTCTAACGGACTGAGATATTTATTCTCACGCTTCGGATATAGCGAAACCGAAACCGAAACCGAATCGAGATCCGCGACCGCTGCCTTCGAAAGTTGCTCACCAACTGAAGCGGCTAGCTGGAATACTCTTTGATTTTGTGCGTCGTCCCCAAAAAATTCTCGTTTCACCGCGGTGTGCGTGTGTATCTGTGTTGTGCGTCGTCTATCTACGTATGTGGTGGTGGTGGCGGGTCTCGAGTTTTGGGATCTTGTTCTCTGGCACGCTGAGTGGTTTGCCTGTCGTTAGTCGCGTATCGTTGGCTTCGGGTTTTTTTTGGGGCTCGGAAAATGTTTGTCATACTGGCCGACATTTGACGATATACTCGTATACCACAAGTTGTATGCCTCATTCAAAAAGCGCCACTCCCCTCAGTAAATTTCGTTTGGCTTTCGTTCTATTGCATCGTTACCTTTAGATACACTTGGTTTGTTACCACGCTGGGTTGTGGTCCCTGCTAAGTTGGCTTTTACAAATGCGCCCACGCATTTGACTTGGCCAGCATATCAATGGTCTTGGCCCGTGTTTAGGCCAATTTCGAAAGACTTCATGAATGAAGGGGAAATAACAATTTAAGCTTTTAATTTACGAGCAGTCTTCGCAGAATTTTGATTTGATTTGAAAATGGTTGTATTTGAAATTCGTTCAGACAAATGATAATGATAATGATAATGAGATATATAAAATAAAATATTTCAAATATGTTGGAAGTATTCCAAGATCCTACAAAACAAATAACATAGTGGAACTTTCTTATTAAATACAAATAATTGTTATATAACTCGGCCAACTCAATCCGACACGACAAAAAAACATACAAATAGAAAAAAGAAGCTATTCGCATATTAATTAGTTGTTAAACATGCAAAACGCGTGCATGAAATTAGTATAAATATGGTTGGCCAAACTAGACCCATTGGCTCATCAAGAAAGCCTAAACAAGTGTATTCGAGATATATTTATAATTGTTGCCCAGTTATTGCGGTGGTTTTTATTGCGATCACTTTGTGGTTTTATGCGTTCGATCAGAGAGTTTATTAATTTAAATGAATTCCTTATTTGGACAGTTAATTAACGCCAATCTTCGTAGTTTTTCAACGGATTGATCTCATGATAAGAGGTGCGAAATCGTGATGCTCGTGAGGGGGAATCGCTAAAACAAACAGAGTGAGAACTACTAGTAAAATAAACTTTTTAATTTCAATCGGAAACCTGTTATCTTTAAGCTTATAATTTAGGCAGTTCCGTTTCTGAACTTTCTTGAAGTAAAGCGGCCTCGAAGTAATTTCCTTGTTTCTTGGACATAAAAGGTTCTTCTTTCTGGTCATTGCTCATTTGCTGATGAGATATGCAAATGTCCCTCGAACTCTATGGCTCCCATTCATACCCGCATTTGGTTGCTTCCCCACCTTTCCCCCAACTTCAAGCTCCAATGCCCTTGCACTCGTTATCCATCCGCACACACTCCATACATATTAATGCCTGCTTTTTGCCATTTTCTGTGTTGTTTGTACATATTTAGTTTTCCTTGGACCATATGGCCACAATTTGGGTAACAGTCGGGGATGTTTAATGTATGATACCCACCAGATTATGTTTGTTTGACAAAGGAATTAGTTTATTATTTGCTTAGTTTCTTGCAAATTTGAATAACATAAATCAGTTATAAATAAAAGGTAATTAAATAACTGAAATTATAATAACTTAAAAAAAATTTTTTTATTTTTACGAGTTTAATGCACATACCAATCTCTAATAAATAAATATCAGTATCTGGACCTCAGCTTCGCAACTCTGGGTGCTTTGTTTGTTTGCCTTACTGTTTATGGAATTGTTTATGGCTAACAAGGGCCTGCTGGCCCGGTCTGTTTGCATAAAGTTGGGGCTCATCAAGCGTCCGGGGCAGAACTTTGTTTTCAATTTCCAGTGGCCACAATAGATGGCTTCATGGCTGCTTGGACTTGCATTTGTGTCATTGGGGTTCGCATGGACCATTAAAGAAGTACAACGCAGAGTGTTCGTGTTTTGTAGCCTAGAACAAAGTATATACTTGGGTACTGATGATGGTGATGGTGATGAAACACCCATCTGAATTCCGATTGATGTGAACGCGTGTGCGGAGTCCAAATTGGTTTTTATTTAGTTTTTGGCACACACTTCGCTTGGAAGTCCAAAGTGCCCGCCAACCTCCCCTTTTCCACTCGATGTGCTAGTTGTTAATTGGCTTTCATTGAATTGTCTCCCAATTTCCAGTTATCTAACTTTTTCCTCCAAAATTTTCGACTTGCTTCGGTTGACAACAAAATGAAGAAAAAGTGGAAATGATTTTTATGACTTTTTCATTGAGACGCTGTTACTGCGCAGCTGGAAATACAAATTCCCCCGACGTCCTTCGTCTTTTTTCGTCTAATTGTAACTGATGATTGTTGTAAGCTCGAAATTGACACATTTCATTGATTTGATTTGCATTCATTTCCCGTTTCCATTCAAACATCTGCAGTTAAGACCAGCAATTTGGCATTCCGGTTGAATGAACTCTGCCAAATCGAATCCTCCCGTTTTAAAACCCACAATTATCCAATTTTTTGTTGGTTTCCAAACCAAAGACGTATTTTATTTAATCGTAAATCAGTTGCTTGTAAATAAATATATTATTAAATTAAGCTCGCGCAAAGAACTTAAGGCGTAAATCAAAGGCCAAATATTCAGAGACCCAAAAGTTTAAGGGAAAATATATAATATTATAGTTAGTTGAGTGTTCATATATATATATTTTATATTGTATTGTATACACACACACATATACGCTATTAATGCATTTTAAATACTCTCCCATCCTGTTTATCTCTGTATAAGTAATATAATTTATTTCCATATTCCATAGTACATATGTATATTTGATTATTACCAAAAACAGTCAGACAATTTCATTCAAATTAACGATACGCTTGCTGCACGTTCGGCATAAAATATTTAAAATATTTATGCCCTGAGCCACTTTTTAAATTTTGACAAATAGTTTGCATATTGTATACGTACGGTTATATATTTCTAGCAATATATTTAGCTGCGGATATTCAGTAAATACGATTAAAATTCTCATCAATTGTCATATCGTTTTTCCCCGATTCGGCGCTGTTCTATATAAAAGTGTACTTCGAAAGTGGTGGCTTCATACATGTTTAAAAATATTTGGTTATAAATTAAAGCAGTATAGAGGACAATTGTCGCTTCTGAGCTCGATTAAAGTTGATAACTAGCCAATTCTGGCGATTGTTGCTATCGATATTTTAATATATATATATTTGAACGTTCTCCTCTCATTTTTATTTTGTTTTGTACTAGTCGGGAAGCCTCTAGTTCGATAAGTATTACACAAGTAGATACAGATAGTTGCGGTTTCTCTGGATTTCAGTAGTTGTACATTTAGTTGCCATAGACACCGATTTCTTACAGGGATTACGTGGCATAGATTCGGTTTAGTTCCTTTCCGGTTCCGGTTAAGCTAAGGTTGGGTTTCGTGGGACAAAATCGCCGAACCCTGTTCGGCGTCCTAAAAACATTGATTTGATTATGTTCTTGACGTACAATACATTATTAATGTTCTTCATATGCGTATAACAATAATTTAGTTCTCGTAGAGTTGGTTTAAAATTTAAAATTGAAATTCTACACAAAAATTGCACACGAGTTGACCTTGACACTATCTCATTACTATAATTGAATTGGAAACTTTGGATATTTGGTTTCGTTTGTGTTTTTGTGTTCCTTGGATTATGTTATGTTCAATGTTCGAAAAAAACGCAGAAATACTCTTCGTGGGGCCTGTGGCTATCATTAACTACTAAATAGACTACCGATGTGTTGGGGGGATTCCCGATCCTTAGTAGTACTTCTCGCCATTATAGCTGGATCCACGCTCGGCCACCGGCTCGTTCATGAACTGGCTTTGGCTGACCGATCGCTTCTTCTTGGCCACCATATATCGCTGTTTCGAGGAACCAAATCCTACCGATTTAATGCAATATATTAAAGTATGAATCGGGAACACCCTTGGAGGGAAACCTACGGCTGTTGACTCCACTGTACTTGTGCTGCCTGGGCACGTACTCGTACTTGGGCATCACCTGGTTCTGGTTGTCCACCGGCATTCCGTAGTAGTCCACCAGGGCGGGTTGCGCCTGTACGGGCACGTCCATCCAACTGCCCGCCGGCACGTAGTCCAGGTCGTCGGAGGAGATCATGGGCACTGGTCCGGAGCTCTCTGCGTCGCTTTCCTTGCGCGCCCGCTCCCCAGCCTCCACCAAGGCAACCAGGGCCAGCATGTCCGCGGGATTCAGCTGGGTGTCGCGTTTCAGTCTGCAAACGAAAGAGAAATTACGAAATTCTTAGGAAAAAATCGAATTTAAGAAAAAAAGTGAATACGGGTGCCTATGTACCTTCATTTTAAAATATTACCCATACGCAGTGTTGCCTTTTTAAACTTGTGTGACTTAAATGTAACTAGTTTACTTACCGCATGTCATTGAAGCGCCGGTATTTATTGAGGTTAATGTTCTCCGAATTGTAGCCACTACTCGCACCATTGCCACCGGAACTTCCCAGATTGTAATAGATTCCGCGCTTGTTCCGGTCATCCAAGTTGTAGTTCCGGTTGGCATAGGTCATGGGAACCGAGAGGGGAATGCTTTCCAAGTAGGCCTCGGCATTCAGGAGGTTTTGCAGATTGTCGTAGGCCTTGTTTCGCGCACTCGAACCACCCACTAAAAATAGTAAAGTTAAATATGAAGATAATGTAATATGTATATTAAATAATACTTTAAATAGAAATAAATCTCAAATTTCCTTAAATAATGTCAGCTCTTGAATTTTTAGGATTAAAAAGCACTATTGACTTGACAGTTTCTTACATAAATTTCAATTAAACATGAACTTACATCGTCTTTCGGGAGCGTAGTCTTCGATTTCCTGGAGGTCCCGATCGCCATAGCTGACCGGAACGGCGGCCTCGTAGTCGTCGGACCAGACGCCACTGGGCACATCGCTGCCGTAGTCGCTGGCCGGGGAGAGGTACGGGTTGTACTCGTAGTTGACGCCCCGCTTGCGCATCGTGGAGCTGGCCACCGCCTCCTCGAGGGCGCTGGGCTCCTCCTGCAGCTGCTGCTGGCTGTTCTGGGCGGCGGCTGCCACGGCGGCCAGGATCTCGTCGTTGGAGGGCAGGGCGTAGACGCCGGATGGCACCTGCTGCTGCGCCTGGCTGGCCATCGGGACGGGGATGGGGTTGTTCCTGGCCGACGGGGCATTGCTGAAGGAAGCGGGCACAATTTCCGGACTCGACTTCTTGTCCGCCGTCGGCACCGCATTCGCCTCCTCGGCGCGTTTCGCTAAGTGGATGGAGAAAGCAAATTGAAATTGAAATTTTCCATTGCCTGCTACCATCACCAAGCACTCCAATATTCCATTTTCCCGGGGCTGATTCAATAAATTCGCAACCCCCGCGGCCAAGTGACCGCAAAACCAATTAGCCGCCGTCCACCGAAACGAGTACCATAATTGTTTTATACACTCGAGCATATTTCTCCCGTTCTGCGCTAATTGCTTTTAGCGCTTTGACAACCGAGTTTATGTTTATGTAATCCCCAGTGGAAGGCCACCCCCTGCAGCTGGGCCTCCAGGATTGACCTTATTAATCCTAATCGCATTGCTGCCCCAGGGGTATCCAATCGAAAAGGGGCTCCTCGCGCAACAGTTGGCCCGCTAATTGACTGGGCTTCATATCTCGGATCGGATGATAATCGAGCGCAGGCAGCCGCCAATTAATTTCCAGTTAACACCTGACATGAGCCCTCCGCATGAGCGGTTATGCCGACTTCAGGTTTAATTCATAACTCTGCTAAATCGTGACAGAAACTAGTTCAACTGCCCAGCAGATGAGCAGAGTTCCGCGAAATACGTAAATGTATTTTTATTAGGGGATTTTTCGCGATCTTCGGACTCTATCTATGGCTTATCGCCAATGGAGCTTTGATAAACGATTATTGGAGAACAGAGATATGATAACCAAATAGCCATGATTTATACGACCCCAATCATTAAAGTGTTATTAGCTTGTGCCGATTGAATGGCCAGGTGGTTGTGTATCCGGCCATGGGCGAGCTTTATATCAGAAAATGGTTCTCACTAAAATGACAAGCAGTTTCTACAAATAGTAAAGTTGTATCTAACTTTAGGGTAGATACATTAACTGATATCTGCACAATAATAATCAGTAATATTTAATCAGCTTGTGAAATGTATGGAATGCAGCTTGAAGTCGTAAAACTATAAAAGCAACTTCGTTAAAAAAAAACTGTTGCCTACATTTAAGGGCCTCATATGATAGTGATACAATTTATTTCCCAAAAAATGAAGGAGATATTTTTCCATGACACAAGCATTCCTTCCGAGAAGCTACCAACCCGTTCTGCGAAATTCTAGACGAGTTGTACAAATGTGGATACTTTAAGGCGACACAATTTATGGATCACACGTAACCCAGTTTGCAATGCCCCAGAGTCCTTGGGTCCAACGGCCAACGATTCCTGAAAGCCCTCCTGTTAAATGATTCCAAGAATCCGCAGTCATTTAGAGCCAACAATGCTCGTGTTTCGCTTTTATTCCCACCCACGCCTCGTCGTTAAATATGTTTATATGTGGCAAATGTCCTGCTCTCGGATGTCCATCACTTTGGGTGGACCGAGGGGGGTGGGGGTACTTAAATAAATAAATAATAAGAAAAAAAAGAAAATGTTGGAAAGCTCTGACGTTTGCTGACGTCGGCCTCGTCTTCACAGTTGTTGTTTTTCGTTTTGCCCAAGAGTGTTCACTGAACTGTGAAAGTATCAACAAGTTGTTTGCTCTCCGCACACACACACACACACACACGCACACATGCGCAGAGATTACGGGGTGGTTGGGTGTCGCCTGGTGGGTGGTGGGTGGCGGTGGGTCCTTAGCAGCTGTTCGAAAAGTCGGGACACCACCAGACAACACGACATGAACATGAACATGAACACAATTAACGCCAGGACTGAAGGTCCTTGGGCGTTTTTTTTTTTTTTTCCTTTGCCGCCCCACCAGAAATAACTTAATAACCGCGGCATATGGACAAATTTGCGAAACGCATGAAAACGCGATTGGGAGCCTGAGGTTTCGGGATCGGGATTGGGATTGGGATCAGGATCTGGATTGGCATCGGGGAATGGAAACTGGGCGCCCCTCTCTGCTGAATATTTCATGGCCTGTCGATGAGTGACAGGAACGGCCAGCAGCCATTGCTTTTATAAATATTTAATGTGCACACTTGACTGCCGCCGCCGTCGATGCGTAAATTAAGCGCTGGGGTGGACCCTATTCCCGCTTTGCATTTTAAAGAGTGTCGCCCGGAGTGCCAACAGCTGGACGCCCGAAGGCAAAGCCTGTTTGCCTTTGTCATTAAGCTGCCATATGTAATTTAATAAACACATCGGGCGGCTCTAGTTCCTCCCTGCCATCCAGGGACTTAGTAAATCTATTTAGGGCGCACTGCAGAGGGGGCGAAATCTATTAGAGCGCTCTTGTGTCCTTCAAGTCCTTGAAGTGGGCTTTGAAAAACAAGCTGTAAAGTGGTTTCGAAAATGTTTAGCATTTTCAGAAGTATCACAAGATAGACTTCAAATCAAATTACAACTTATAAGCAATAGAACTTTAAGATTTCGGAATGCAAACTCTAATGATGTATTACAGCTGTCTAATGGTAGTAAGTTTAGAATTAAATATTAAATATGGAGTAACACTGAAATCTCTGGAGATTTTGAACAAATCGAAAAGATTTTTGATTATGTAGGTTTAAGAAATTTAAGTCTGTTATCTTTAATATATAGATCTTTTAAGTCTCTGGAGATTTCTGATTATCGAAGAAATATTGCAGCAGTTGCTGCAAGTTGTCCACCCCAATTCAACTCGTACCTTTTTTTAGGACTTGCGTTTGACATTTTGATGTGGCTTTAGGCGATTGACATTTGACCAGGCCCGCTCCTGTTTTGGCCATACTTTCTGCGGTCTCGGCCGCTAACGAACGTGTTGCATTCGAAAATCAGGAGGAGCGGGCGCGAAATGGGATTGGAAAGGCTTAACAGCTTGAGCTGGCTGCCAACTTAAGGGCTCAAGGCTGCGGTGAAAGTGGGCGGGCGGGTGCTACTTGGGGGGCTAGGAAGTGGGTGGCACTTTCTCCCAAGATGTGGTGAATGGCGATGCTAGGCGAAAGGCGAAAGGCGCCAGGCGAGCAGAAAATGCTGAAAACGCAGAGGGGGCTGTAAAACTTTCGCCTAACTCGCTTTCTAAAAATAGAAATGAAATCGCGCGCACGTACGCACACTTTAACAGCAAGGAGGGCAAACACACACACATATACATTTACCCATAATACGTGTATGTTGTGCATAAATGTGTGTGCACAAAGGAGGCTGGCCGCCATTTTGTGTGGCGAACGCCTACGCGATATTTAACTGCGCTGTAGGTTCCTATGTGCTTGTATTGGTAAGCTCTTAGCCACATATATGTACAGTGTAAGTGCACTGATAAAAATCGGAGTTAATGTTGAATAAGAAAATGTTGAACTTGTATAAACAAATTTTTAATGATGAAATGAAACATTTTGTATATTATGTTGCAAATTCTTTGTCATTTTATATACATATTTTTTTTTTTTTGTATACAATAATTTTATATTATACAATATCCGTTTACTTTAATACTTGAATTTCAACAACTTATTGGACACTTGGGACTCCACCAAATTCATTCACTTAAACCACACTTCGTTGATAAATGTTCACAGTGTAGGGACAGTAATGATTCACTAAGCCAGTGTAAGAACAACAACCGCAAGATGGAAATTTGTGAAAACGCGAAGGAAGAGGATGACGGAGGGGTGGAGTGGTGGAGGGCAGGACATGACAGCGAAGGCGACAGCTGTCGTCCTGGCGCAAAACACCTACGCAATTTCCTGGCGAAAACGGCAAACGGCAAACGACGAACGACGAGCGGGAAATGGGAAATGGAAAATGCTAAATGAGATGAGCCCCAAGATGGAGCCACTCGAGCGGATGCTGATGCTGGGATGCTGGGCTGCTTGGCTGCTTGGCTGCTGAAGAGCCCCCAAAATCAGCAGGCCACCCACGCAGCCGAGGGCGATTTTTCAAAACTCGAAATTTCCCAATGACCTTTAGCATTCAACGGTAGCGGGTAGCGAGTGTGTGGGCGGAGCTCCCTCTCCCTTTCCAACTCCGCCCCAAAAATGAACTTTGCCACTCACCTGCTGCCGGCTGTTGCTGCTGTTCCAACTGCTGCTGCTGCTGCTGGAGCTTATGGTTGGCGCTGGTGGAAAGCTCCGTGTCCTGAGCGAGAACGGAGGCGGGAACGGCCCGGATCAGCGGGCTGAGGCACAGGATCAGTGCCAGAATGACCAGCAGAGTGCTGCTGCGCAACGACATGGTATGCGGCATGCTCGCTTAACTGTCACCCAAATAGGATTCCGGATTAGGATCTGTGGTTCGGTTGCGGTGGGAGGTCGACTCCTGGTCTACTCTAACTCCTTGGGCTGTGCCTTTTCCTTTCACCAGTGGTTCGCGCACTTCGACTGTTCTGAATGAACTGACGTCCCAGCGACGCAGTGCAACAGTTTTTAACGTACTGTCCCCGATTCCGTGCCGTTGGCCGTGTTTGCAGATCCAGTCCTCTGACTACCCCACCAACTACCCACCACCCAGCACCACCCATTTCCCGTCCAGTCTGCACACAACCTACGTCACTCCCATTGATAAAGACTGCGGGCCTCAGAGGAGCCTGCTTACGTAGTTCCCTGGCGAAAGTGGCTCGGCAATCGGCAATCCCGAAATGCGCCTGCGTCGAATCTGCACGGAGCTGCCTTACAGCGCGGTTATATCTGTGCGATAATGTGGTAGCAAGTCTATGGCTATATGACACGAATTATTACGTAAAATAAATAAATATGTTACACAACTGCAGTCTCAGATTTACATTTAATTTCTATCATATCTCAAAGTATTGCAATATTTTACTAGAATAACATTCTAACCTTTCTTTACGCTTTTGATCAATTTCATGACCCAAAGTAACTGGAAAATTTTTTAAGATGCTTAATAGTTGTTTAATAAGCCTAAAACCTTACCTTAGAGTTTAAAGTAAATTATCAAACCCGGTAAAAGAATGGAAGCCTATTATACATAGTATACACTTTTTTCTTTTTTACTAAAAAAAAAAAACAAAATTATACATAGAATAAACGAAGTTAGGTTAAAAACAGAAAGCAACACCATGTAACATAAAATATCTTTTATTTGAATTTTTCGAAGTAGCCTTAAAACCTTGCTGCATAATCTTGAACAATGCTTGCCTTGCAATATACAAGTATGTATATGTTTTGCGATTGCAACCTGCTAGATCAGCAGAAAAGTCGAGAATACTTGAAACCTAATAAAGTCACTCCTCAGTGGCTTGCTTTCAGTTTGTCACGGGACTTAGAAGTATAAAGTTTAAATATAAACTCCGGAATGAGATCGCAAAGTTTTCGGTTTATATTTGTTACCATATTGATAGCGCTCTCCCATGGAGATCCAATTGACCAGGATGAGGATGTTAATCCTATGACTATGAAGGGATTTAATAACAGTCTTGGAACTTTTGTGGAGTATAGCGGAAGGGCAACTATAGCAGTCGAAGATCTGAATATATATGCCAGCTTCAATTTGGAATCGCTTCTCTCGCACTTTAAGTTTTTTAAAAAGGGCCGCAAAATTGTAAGTGACTATTGCCTACGAAATGTTACTGGATGTCCAAACTACAGCGACGAGGCTCTCTTGATTGGGTTGATTGATGATGCGGATGATCTGAAGGACGTCAAAATTAAGCGCCTACCTATTGGCATTGGAAAGTATTTAAATAACAGACCTGCGCTTATTGACAGCACAGGGAACGTTCATATAAGTTTTTTCCCACCTCTCTTTCGTTTGGGCGACGAGAAAGATTACACAATTGACTATATCAACAGCATCAGCAATCGAATCAGTCTTCTGGAATCCCAATTAAAAAGCTCCCAGGACTCCATACTTGAAGCTTTAACTTCAGCCCGCCAGAAAAGACTAAGCCCTCTGGTTCTTACCATCAATCAGTTGAAAGAAGAGATCCCTAAGATAAAGGCTAAGCTTCCGCCAAATCGACGACTGCCCTTCGATGAAACCAGCGTTTCGGATATTTACCTACTCGCCTCCGTGGTCCCTAAGCAGCTGGACAACCAGGTGGTCTTCCAAATCACAGTGCCATTAATCGAAGTGGAGGAGTTCAATGTCTATCGCCTCACGCCCATTCCCCGAGTGGTTAACGGCAAGATCCAGCTGATGGACAGCGAAACACTCTATTTGGGTATCAATGACCACCAGGACAGGTATTTTCCTATCCGAGACCTGAAGGATTGCACTGAATTGGGCAATGAGAGATTTGTCTGCAAACACAATCAAATTACCCACGGAGATGGAGATAATCGGTTTGCCTGCTCTTTGGCGGCCATCCGGGGTCAATCCTCCGAAGCTTGCACCTTCCACCAACTGGAGCAGAGTGCCCAATGGACCCAGCTGGTGGCACCGAATTCATGGATGGTGGCCCTCACCAAGGAGCTATCCTTGACGGGTGTGTGTTCCGGTAAAAGGCAAGAGCTTAAGATCAACGGCAGTGGAATCCTGAGCATTCGGGGCGACTGCATCGTCCGGAGTTCAGTGGTCACTCTCCAAGGAGAACCCAATCCTAATGATCCCTCGAAAAAGGGATTTGCCTCGCTGCAGCTCTCCCCGAAAAGCTCACGGGAAACAGAAAACACTGATCAACTACTTGATATAGAAAAGATACTGAGGTCAGAACAGGAAAAACAATTACATGATGTAGTACAGATACTGAGGACGGAACAGGAAGAACATTATCATCCAATGTTTATAATCACTGGGTGTCTTATAACAGCTGCCGTTCTTATTTTGCTGGCCTGGATATATCTTAACCAACGTAAACTGGAACTTGCAGTGGCTCAAAATCCAGTCAACACTTTCGATGCCTATCCAGACCCAAAAAATGAAACCAGAGTCAGCAATCTTCCGCTGCTGGAGAAACATGAAGTATAACATATACATATTGTGTCGATTATAATACAGATTTATTTGTTTGGTTTAATTGCAATAAATATTAGTTACTTTCATCATTTACACGTTGTAAGTCTCAAGGCTTCAGTTGGGGTTTCCTCATTTTGCACTTAGAAATTTAGAAAATCTGAGCCAAGGGCTGGGCATGCTGGCAATGTGATCTGGGGACTAAGTACCTCGACTCTCCTAACTTCCGGACTGTGCACCGAGTGCTCTATGTTACAGTTGCAGCCAGGCCTTCGTTTACAAATAAGAACTACCAAGTGTCAGCTACTACAAGGAAAACATTGCCAATTACAAACTAGTTACAGCGCTCTAAGCGGCGCATTGCACTTTGTGTCTCTGATTTTTTTTTGTCAGTTTCAGTTTCTGTCCATGTGTGATTGATTGTGTACGAAATAAAGCTTTGCGCGGGAAGGGGGTAAATAAGAAAAGCACGCGGAGGATGCGGATGATGTGACGAGTGTGTCCTATTTGGCGTTGTCCAGCACCTTCACTATGTGCTTGGAGACGAGGGCCGTTGCCTTGGCGGCATCGGGGATGAGAAAGCGATCCATGTCCGTGATGAGCAGGCCGTCGCCGTCGGGGAATCCGTACTTGAAGGTGATCAGGTCGCGGTGGCGCTTCTTGGCCGTGATCTTAACGATGCTGGCCAGCGGACGGCGCACCATTATCTGCGCCTGGCCGCGTCCCAGTTCCCGCAGCACCACCAGCTGGCCGGGCGTGATTATCAGGTGACTGTCGTACATGTAGCCGCTCATGTGCACCTCCTGGCACTTGAAGGCGTTTATAATGTCCGCCGTCTTAAAGTAGTGGTTCAGGTTTACGATCTCCTTGCCATCGCCAGCCAAGGGTGGGTCGTCCCGCTCTCCTGGTCCGTCTAAGGCATCCTCGTTCTCGTCGTCGATGCTGAAGACAGGCGCCACATTGCGGTACCGCTTTCCGTTCCGCTCCTTGGCACTCACATGGCGCTCCTGTGACGGAGCCGCCTGCACGCCATTCGAGCCGCTGGCAGTGGCTCCTCCGTTAGCACTGGGATTCACAATGATGTCCAGCAGTTTGCCCTTGACCTCTGCAGACTTTGACTTCATGGCCGCGGAGAACTTGCTGAAGAGGTCCGTGGACGAGGTCGCCGAAGTCTTCAGAGGTGTTGGTTTTGTCTGTCGAAGGAGAAAAAAGGGTTAATAAGCCATCAAAAGTTTGCTCAACTACAACATCTTAAGCTGCTTATATCTTACACTTACTTGCTGGACGTTGTGCTGCTGGCAGACCAGGCACTTGCGCACATTGTGATCCTCCAGGCAGTCAGCCATGTGATCGCCGAAGTAATCGTGGATGGAGGCATAGCCGCCGGTCAGCAGCGAAACGTAGTGGGTGTTTTTCTGCAGGAATGAGGCCACCACCATGTGTGTGTACTGGTCCTCCTCGACGCGGCCGCTGCCCATGAAGCACAAATGCTCTCCGCCGGCATTCGAGTTGGCCTCGATGGCCTGTCGCTGGGCGGTCAGCAATCCCTGGACGGCGGTGGCGAAGGCTACCGGTTCCTGGAGCATCAGGTTACAGTCCAGGTGGAATGCCGTGGACAAGTGGCCGGCGTTGTACTGCTCGGCTGGTCGGCAGTCAACGAGGAAGAAGCGGACTGCATCCGGCACTGGGAATTCGGTGGCCGAGTTCTCCACCAACTCGTAAACGGAGACGGGCAAGCACAGCGCCTGTGACACCTTGTTGGCCTCCTCCTGGCTGCGTGGCGTGTCGTTCTGTTTGCCATATAGCGCCTTCAGGTAGTCCGTTTTGAATGAAGTGGGTGTCTTGAGCGCGTAGTACTGAGCCAGGGAGCAAAAGTCGGGGACATCGTCAAACTCCAGGGCGCACGGCATGAGACCCAAGAACTTAATGATCTCCTCCTTGGACGAGCTCCTCATCTGCAGGATCTGTTCGCGGCCGTTGATCAGGATAATCAGCGCCAGAAAGAAGACCATAAAGGGATCAGCGTTCTGGAAGTACAAGTCCCACATGGCAATGATCACCGAAAGGCTGCTGCAGGAGGCGAAGAGCGACTGGAACCAAGTCAGGGAGTACAAATCGGGCGTGATCTTCTTGGTGTCCAGCAGCGTGCAGAGCTCCGGGTCGTGGTAGAGCAAGAGCAACCGGAAAACATGGAAGACGTTGCCCTTGGGCCGACAGCCCTTGGGTATATAGGTGTCCCTTATGGATTCGAACAGATTAAATGTGTCCGATCGATTCAGTTTCAAAGCGAAGAGTGGGAGCAGCAGCTCGATCCATCCGTTCTCCGGCTCGTACTGCAGATTCCGGTTCTTGCAGTAGAACGTGATGATGGATTCCAGGTCGGAAACGACCGAGACCTTGTCCTCCTCGTCGTTGCCCATCCGATCGACGTGCCGCTGGCAATCCTCGCGCAATTGGCTCTGGAAGGGCAGGTCGTAGATCTCGTTGAAGAGCGACATCTGGTCCGATTTGTGGCGCACATCCAGGCACACTTGCCACACATCCGGACGCAGTGCCTCCGGCAGGGCTTTTCCCTGGCAAATGCTATAAATGTCGTTCACATTGCAGTCGTCTAGAAGCGCCGATTCCAGCTCAATGATCCTAGGGGAATAAATAATAATGATTTGTTTGTTTCACTCATGTAGACGGGTGAAGGCGACGTCAACGTGTCTAAATAACCAGCTGCTGATAAGGCGGAGCACCCATCAACCCCCCAGGTGCTCCACCCCCCGATGACCCTGCCCCACACTGCTGACTCAATCACCGAAACAAATGGTCGTCTGTTCGAGAAAACCCAAGACTGAGCTGGCAAGCTACAAAACAGGCCTTGCAATCACAAATCAACTGGGATGCTGAATCTCCGTTTCCTGAATAACCTTAATTGTTGACGTAGCCCCCAAACCCAATGTTTATTATTTACCACATATTCTCCTCCATTGCTCTGCTGTCGAGTTAATTACTCCGTTTTCGTTCCAAATTATGCCGTTAATGCTTTCTTTTAGTCTGAAGCTGGCCAGGCAGGTGCATTTTCTTTATATTTTGGGTGCGAATAACGATTTTTTTGTGATATTCCAAATTTATTTTGATCGAATTTTGGTTACGTTTAAGAGACGGGAGGTGGTAACGTTTCTAGTGATGGAATGTGCTTACGTTAACACGGGGCAAGTTAGAGATGTGAGTTTGGATTGATTTACGAATATGATTATTGGGCTGTTATTATAGTTATTCAGATTTTATAAAAACGGCTTATGACAAAAAAAATATAATTGCATAAAATATAAAAAGTTGCAAATAAATAAAACTTAAATTCTATAGTATTCACAAAGATCGCAACGCTGTTCGCTTACAAAGGGTTGAATTATTGTCATTGGTCATGTAGAAACTACTTATACCAAACACTTTTACTTTCTCAAAATAAGTTTATGTTTGGTTTACAAGTATTATTTTCAAATCTGTAACGTCTTTCTGCCTATCGAATAGTGTTGCCAACCACCTGAACCCTTATATTGCCACCTCTAGCTGCCAGCGATTTTGCAAGCAAAGTTTTGTTTTGCTGTAATTTTATCCAAATTTAACTTAAAATCCGGCTGTAGCGGCTCAATTTTGGAAAATAGACTTTGTGCTGGATAACTAAGGGTGTTGGCATTCAAAAAGGTGAGTTGAGCAGAAGGGAAAATACAAGTAATACTTATTTAAGGTATTTTCTATACAAACACATATGCAGTGGGGGCCAAACAAAATTTGCAAATGCAAAGGCAATGACAAAAATAACAACATCAGCGCAATGCAATTGCACACCCATATATACAAATGTACAAATACAGCCTTCACCCAAATAAAATGCATCTTGCATCTATTGATTTTGCATATTTGCATACAAGGTGTTGCAAGAATTAAGAGGTCTGCACGTGTGTATGAGTGTGCAACAGCTGGACTTCCCCCTCATCCCTGAAAAATCCATTTTACATTCGATTCATTACCACTTTTCCGTTTTAACCTGGCAAAATCAACATAAGCTGCACTTTAAGCCACGTGTGTATTTTGCTATTCGCATAGCAGCACGTACACATATTTTTGAAAAACCCTTCTTAAATTGCGACTCTTCTTTTTTCAACAGATGAAAACGGGCAGCGGCAGCAACAACAACCACATCTCCTCCAGCAGCAGCAACAACAACAACGATAATAACTCCTTGGTGCAACAACAACAACGCTCATCGACTTCCGTTTCCGCTGTTTCCGTTTCTTCATCCCATATTGTCACCGAGTGGGAGGATGGAATTATCTTCGATGTGGACGATCCCGACTTTTGCAATCTTGCCACCGACAAGCTGAACTTTATAGGTGAATACAAATACACAAGAACATCAAAATGGGGTATAATTAGCCCAGCGATTATATTTATAGTCTAGACATCGGAGTAATCTATGTTATTTACGATTAGCCCCAGCGAAACCCAATAATTGAGCGGCGGAAAACGTTTTGCACCTTTGTACACCAGCTGCAGTGGGCTTATCGCCCCCGTGGTTTTCCCGATATTTCAAGTCCCGGCTTTTGTCTGATCGGGCGGAAACTGCCGTTTGCTTTATTAATGCCAATCGTTGGCTTTATCTTTGAGTGCCGTTGATAATGGCCATATACAAACAAGGGCCATCAATTATAAAATTCAGGAATAGCTCTATCCACACTCTGTCTTCCCAATGTTTTCCATTTAAAATTAGACGCTTTGCGTGTCGTTTTTAGAACATGTATCGCACGAAAATTGGGCGATCCATCAACAACAACCACTGAAAAGAGCAACCAATGGATGAGGAGTGGGTTCCTTGGCTAATTGTTTTGCCCGTTCGTTTATCTGCGATCTGATTAGCCGTATAACCGAGTCGTGCGACTTACCTATTCACACGTTTCGCTTGTCACCGAGAATTCTGCGGACAAATTCACGCGTTTGTCATGTGACTTCAAGTTGAATCGAAACGGACCGGCCTCTCCGCCTGATCATGCTTCTCCTTCAACTCACCGGCTGAGAAATGGGTGCCAAAAGAGTGTGCAAATATGTCCGATGGCTCAACAATATGAGTGGAATTTTTCCCAATTTTTGGTCAACAATAACAATACCTATTAAATAGCTAGCGTGAGCTGTTTTTGCATGCATATTGTTCAACCAGCTCGGCACGTGTTCCTCGTTAAAGGCTTCCGATTGAGCTGGGGTATTAAAGCCACCCACGAACATTGCGTGTAAGCCAACCATGAGTGTTTGAATTTATGTACCTTTTCCCCTCTTAAGCGGCCCAGTTATTGAAAGGAACGGTTTTCTGGCACAGTTAATTTGTCATCACCATAATTTCCTCGTTCAGTTATGAACGTTACCAGGAAGACGGTCAGTTTCCCTACATTTAAGAGAAAGTTAAAGCAGTATTCGCCTTTTTGGCTTATGCCATTTCCCCGCCATACTAACTTTTAAGCTTAGCTCGCACGTTTGCGGATGATTAGCATATTGCATCAGACTGTTTGCAATCAGCTTCGTCTGCCAAAGTTACACAGTTTCAGTTCGCGTTGATGTTGTAAGATTTTGAATGAATCAGGGAATTAACAGTCAATCAAGCTAGTTGAAAACGATTTATCCGCGCTATTTATAGTCCTATATTCCCATTTGGCTTTATCTTCGTGACTCACTTGTATTAGATCTGATCTTTCTCCCGAACAAACAAGCGGTGCTTATACCACTTATCATGATGGATGTCGTGGAATTTTATTATCTCAACTGATCGCTCTTGTGCTTATCTCGTGCGGGACTTGAGTCATCCGCCGTCTAGACCCGGCTGTTCCTTATACAACATTAATTATATTTTTTCGAGCGGTGGGAAGCGTTTGTAGAATTCCCTGTCGACTTCCATGCGCGAACTTTTGAGCTTGCATAAGCATTTCGCTTGCATAAAATTGCTTATTAAAGCGACAAACGTAATGGCAATATTTAAAAATAAAACCGTTTTCGATTTCGCAATGCCCCAGAACACCTCGCCGCCTACTGTCTGTGTTTTATGTTCCCATGCTCATTATAGAACAAAAGGCCACGCGCAGCCCGCTACTCGCAGTGCTGCTCAATTTGTCGACTCGAGCCGAGCGTCTCTGGCTGATAAGTCTCGTCCGCAACTACTGCGTGAAATTGCGCAGCAGCCCCGTCGTCTCAGGTTCTCCAATCTTTGTAGAACACCGATAGCCCCGCAGTGGAGTGGAAGTGTGCTGGTCACCACAGGTACGGACATATGGTGGCTCGGTGGCGATGGCGTGATGGAAAGTGCCCAAATGCAATCCGATCTGCCAGCCTTGACTTCTAAGCGGTGTCTGGCGCCGGGCTTTGTGGTCTGGCCACCAGTTTGATGCGGCTCCAGATGGGCCACAACCGATTTACTTGGGTCGTAACCGGTTCGAGGCCGACTGCCTCCCAATTCATTAGTATAATCCAAGCACAGAGAGAAAAGATCATCAGAATGTGTCACACATTGGATTTGGATTCTAGGAAACACCTTCAATGACTGTGTTCAATTAAAAGCATTATTCACTTGGGATTCATTAAAACTTTATAAGTGTTTATAGGACCAATGATTGGTATAGTCTCGAATGCTATAAAACTAAGTTTACAGTTACAACTTATATGTATATGAAATCCCAGCTGGCAACAGAGAACGAACTTATCTGTAAAGTTACATTTATTATAGTGTTTTGTAAAGCTAATGCATTGCCACTCGACTTGGAGAGGCCCGACCGATCGATAGCTGGGCGTGTCCGTGTGTCGAGGATTGATTTCAATTCGAATTCCGCCCGTTCATTCATTCATTGTGCTGGCTTCGTTCTTTTTTATTAATTTACAATTTTAGCGCACACAAGCGAGCAGTAGATAGAACCCTTGCCGAGCACTACGGCAGTCGAAATCGGTTCAAACCGGTACCGGTTGTGTATATGTTTACACTGGGCACTTGCTCAGTGCGACGCAGATCTAACCGAGAAGTACGAGCCAAGATGTGGATGCGGCTGCCGTATTTGTGATGCCATATAGTATTCAGTCAACGGTGGTGATGACGACGTTGTCAAAACTGACGACGTCAGTTAGTCGCTCGCGCCACTTTATTGACTAAATGTACCCCCTCGAACTTGTTGTAAAAATGCCCAGTATTTGCATCACACACGGTAGTCGTCATAAAGATAGGAACTTTAAGATCGGCATCGGCCATTCAGAATTTTTAACTGCGAAGTTCAGAATTTAAGTTTAAACTTCGGTGGTTCAAAGTACCACCAAGATGATAAGCATTTTTGTGAGTATACAAACAAGAATTACATAAAAATTTATTCAAAGATAGGAGCCCGAAGTCGGCGACAATCTTCTTGGGAAAAATACTAATCTCTCGTTTTGTAGAACAGCTTAGCTATACAAATTAATAAAAAACCTATTTAGGAGGAAACCTTTAAGCTGATAATAGTTTTGTTAAACACAAAACATAAATTAGCTGGAAAACCTGGAAGTCTAAACTGTACATATATTTTTTGCTAAACACGCCACTCGTTTTTTAGACACATAATATTGCTGATAAATTAAATTATCAAACAAGTTTCCAAATTGACAGTTTATTAATCAGTGGACATTCCCCAGCTCGCATTTTGAAATAAGTTGTCTGAGAAAATGAAACACCCAAACCAGATCAAACTGAACTGTTCTTTAGTTGAATTCCAAGTTCATTATTATATGGACAAATGTAGGAGCTTTGTCAATTTACGAAACCAGTTTGTTTGTTAGCCATACACATGCTAAATTTTAATTAAATATTGTCCGTGGCGAAAACCTAAAATTCGAACTATACAAATTCATTGAACAAATTAAAAGCGAAACCAGATTGAACTGAACCCAATTTGTGGGGTATCTTTGAACGTGTAACCGCAACATCTGTGGAAGTTGAAGTAGAACCCTTCCTCCTGAAAATCTCCCGTGTCACGTGTAATTAGCAAATTGATGCATTATGCAAATTGCTAATTAGGTGTTCTCCGGACTTCCACAAGTGTTAATTGTCGCGCGCCAAGCGAAACCGCAGACCCCTCTCCCTTCCTGTGGGGAGAATTATATTTCTCGGTTTTTCA